CAAACTACTTCTATTCTTAACTTGGCAGGGCCTTCTGCTTAGTAAGTAGAGATTTTTGTGGACTTGTCAATACCGAAAGGAAGACTGTCAAAGACAAGTGAGAAATGTCAAAGCTTTACTAATTCCTTTTGGGAAGAAGACTGTGAATCCAAGTGGCTGTCTGCCAACAGAAAGTTACTGCAGAAACTTCACAGAGGCCACTGACTCTTACTTCCTGGCATTCCCAGATTCCTCCTCAGTTACCAGCTCTCATACAGCAGGGCAGTGACAGCATACATTTCTTCCACATTCTACTATGAAGACAAAATAAAAACTGGTCATTTAAGCGTGGGGAGAAAAAAGTAAATTCATAAATTGGTTATTCAGTGAATTGGCCATTTGGCAAATTGGCTTTCTACAAATTGACTGTTAGTGAAATCAGCCTGCTTCCCAGGAAACGGTGTGGAACTCAGGCTCAGTTGGACTACTGTCATCCCTACCTAGTATAGGACCGCACTGTCCCTTCTGCTTCCTACAAGCTGTGCAGATGGAAACATTGCCCTTGTAGGAAGCTGGGTCTGAGCCTGGTGACTCATAGTCTAGGGTCTCCTGGGAACAAAGAGGAATTAAAACGAAGAGTGGGTGGCAGCTCCCTGCTTTAGGGTCCTAAAGCTGAGCCTCTCTTGATGTGGGCCAGAGCCATGCTGGCAGTCAGTCATGTGCTGTACACAAGCCTAAGCTAGCTAGGACAAACAGTTTAAGATGGCAGGATTGGATGCCTAAGCCACAAGTTGTACAGAGCACCTTTGTGAGGTAGTCATGAGATTAAATGTACATCTATTAACTGGTTTTAGGTACCTGGAATATTCTATGTAGGAGTGTTGGCCATTATTTAAATACTCTTTTGACATGATTACTAATCCTGTGTCTTTATTATATGGTTAACCTACTAACACAATTCCTAATCATACTGATAGTTGATAAATACCATCTTTTTTTTCTTTCATTTATGTATAACTTTGGATACAGATTTGGAGACTGCTTCTTGTGGGGGCCCCTGATATTTCTCACTTTCTCGTAACTTCAAAAGCCAGTTCTAAAGGACTAGGGATGTAGCTTAGCGGCCCAATCCCTGCCTGGCAGGTAGAGGGTCCAGAGCTCAATTCCCAGTACAAAAAGAAAAAGAAAAACCCAGTTCTGGTCACTGAACATCAGGAGAATGGACATGAGCATAAACACAGCCACACAGTGCTACTCAGCCAGCCAGACACCTCACTGCTGGGCCATCTGGAAGCCTTGCAAGTCAGTAGAGCAAGTGAAGTTACTGTGGGAAAACCTGTGAATTCTGAAAGTGACTATTGCCAGAATAGTAGCTGTCTCGGTAGAATAGAAAGAAAAGAAAAGAACTGAAGAGAAACAGCCACAGAAAAGACCTGTAAGTCTGTGCATGCCAACTGCATGCATTGCTCATTACCCATTTCCTACAAGCCTGGATGAAAACATGAGTCTGCTAATGTGCATGTTCTCTTTTAAAATAATGCCAGAAATCTAAAAAATAACGATTTATAATTTTCACTAATAATATATTGCGAGCAGTCCAAGCAGCATAAGTGCATAAGCAGCACATTTCAATTGCAAACTCTTGTATGAGCCAATACTGAAGAAGCCTGCAGGTGTCTGCTTTAGCATAGGGATGTACAAGATCCAAATGGATGTAGCCTGTATGTGTACAGCAGTCTGGTTACAGGAAATTACTGACTCAAAAGTTGCTGTAAATACACATTCCTGCACCAATGAGGTTAAACAGAAAATTCACAACAAACCAAATTAATAATTACAAAGCCAAACTAATAGTTTTTCAGTTAAAAAGTAAGAAGAGCAGCGATTGATTGGAGCTAAAACTAGCTCAGTTGCCCTGATGATAACAAATCTTTTCCCAGGGTGGAAAAGTCTAGTCTAGAAGGTGCCTAAGGAGCTAGAGCCTGGCAGTGCTTTGTGGAAAAAAGAGCCAGACTACTGGCAACACCAAGGGAAGGTCCTCATCACCTCTTTGTCATGGAAGCAATTATTGCACCATGAGGCATGGTGGCTGGGTGCCCTCCCAGGCCTGCAGGAGGCTCTTTTGGACCTGGGATGTGAGCCAGGCTTCACCACAGGAACACCTGCTGCGGGAGAGAACCAGCCACTTTGTGCTCCAGCATCTTCACACTCAAGGAAGACCTGGAAAAGAAGGCAAGAACCAGTGAATTCGTAGTGGAGGGCTAAGGGTGATTTTATCAGCTATATTTTCTGAAAACTTCTGCAGTAAACAGAAATTACTTTTGGTTAATTTTTCAAAGAGCTTCATTCCACTGAAATCCCTACAACAGCAAAAACATTTACATGACCACCTTTCAGCCCTGGAGGAGTTAAAACAGTTACTGAGGAGAGGAGCAAAAGGTTTATGAATAAATCTACAGTTACTTGAGTTGCTAAAATTAAGTGACAGCGGCAATTTTCCAAGGCACAAATAAACCCTCTCTGGAGGAAAGAAATTGCTCCTGTCTTCTTCAGTGCCCCATCCTGTCTTAGATTAACAAGGAAAAGAGCACAGTACTGCTGTGCAGCAGTTGGGATGAAACCTTCTGGGTCATTCTGGAGGAATAGTTAAATGCTTTCAGATTATCCAGCCCACAGCAAGAAAGCAGAGGTAAGACCTGCCTTAGGTTCCTTAAAGTGGAGAAAAGAACATGGGGAGGTTGCACTTCAATGCTGCAGGAAGAGTTGGTTTTAACTTTAAAAATTGTGAAATATAGTGTATGTGTTGAGATGTGAATAAAATATAACAATGAATTTGAAAGCAACACATGTGTAGCCACTGTTCAGGTCAACAACAAGAATATCACCAGCACCAGAATATTTTTTCCTAGTCACAACTACCTCCTGATTTTCTCCTGGTTACCACCCTGCTTTTATGCAGTGTGAACCATGGTTTGGTTTTGCCTGGTTTGGGACTGTATGTGACTAGAACCACACATGGCATACACTCTGTCTGTCCCTCTCAGTGTGATACTTTGACACATACCCACCTAGCAGCACGTGGTAGTGGTTCTTTCAGCTGTGTTGCTGTGTAATGTTTCACCACAGGCATCTGTCACCATCATTGCCCAGTTTACCCTTGGTGGCTCTGTGGGTTGTCTCCAGCAGTTGGGAGCTATTACAAATAGCGTGTCTGTGGATTCTTTCCTGGTATCGTGCTCAGAGAGTGGGATGGCTGCATGGCTTCTGTGTGCAGCATGTGCACTGTCATCTTTCCCAGGGAAGGGCAGCCTAGCTTCCCACAGGGGTGAGGAACTGCTCTGAACCCTTGCTGTCTCCTGGTCTGATCAGAACGTTAATGGTACCTGTCCAGTGACTGGGGAGTAACTGGATAGGGCTTGCCTGAGCATTTCCCTGATGTAACAAGGTCAAGCACTCTTTCAGATGCTTATCAATATTTGTAGTTTACTCCTCTGAAGTTAACTGTTTTGTTGGTTGTTTTACCTACTGAGTGCTGTTATTCATTCAACTGTCCAATCATCTAAGGGTCACTGTTCAAGAGACTGTAGGGATGCAGGCCACACACACACACACACACACACACACACACACACACCCCTGACAGCTGGAAAGGCAAATATATAAATAACATATTTGTAGGGGTGATTTCCACCAGTCAACTGCTGTAAGATCTGACTCTGACACCACAGCCTCAGTGCTTCAACTGTGTCTGGCCCATGTTCCTTGCTCTAGTAGAGTTTTGGTAAATGATCAAATGAGGCATTTTCAAAAAATGTGAAAGGGCCCTGTTAGGGTTAAGGACTGAGCAAGAAGGAGCCCAGACCCTGGAGCCACAAAGGCACTGGCTCCTCACTAATTATGCCTCTCTAGGGAGCAGTTGGTGAAGCCTATTTTGAAATATGGCTTTACCAGGACCACCAGTCGAGAAGTGCATTCTAGGCTGTTGGGCGCAGGCGCTCAACATACCATACCCCACCGGGACTAAGGACCACGCCAGCTTCCGCAGTGCGCTATGTCCCTCTTTAAATTAGCCAACCCGTGCGCACTTTGTGCTCACTCCATACTCTGTGGCAACTCCTGATTGGCCACAGCTGGATATAGTAGCCAGAGCCTGCTTCCCATTCCCGCCCTGCTTCCTCCTGGCAGCCTGTGATTGGTCACGGCCAAATATATAAATCAGAGCCCGTGTAACTAAAACAGCAGTTAACTGTCGTCCACAAAAGCGTCTCCTGTCTCCTGTTTCATTGGGGAGCTGCGCTGGTCACTAGGCAAGGAACAGAATGTGGGAAGGCACAGAACAAATGAAGCCCAGTCTCCTGGAGAACGCCAAAGTTTGGAGTGCAGGACAGGACGGATGAGAGGACACAGACCACAAGGCACGGGTTGAAAGTACTGCTGGGAAGGGACATTTGTCTCCTGGCAGGTGGAGGCAAACTGGAGAGCTGTCAGAATGAAGCAGTTAGATCAGCTTGGCAAGCAGTGAATGGAGCCCTCCCTCTCAGAACACCAGTGGTGGTATAGCCCCAGGAGGGCGGAGTAGCAAACCAGAGTGCCCTTTCTGCATAGCCTGCCCGGGCTTAGCAGCTTCGTGGACTCAGTCAAGCCTCAGTTTCCACTCTTGTAAAGTGGGCTTACGCCTCCTGGCAGAGCTGTTGTGAAGATCAAGAGAGAGAAGCACATGCTTAATTAACCTTTGCCAGGAATGAGGCTGATGAAGCAGTAGTGTAGTTTGGTGATGTAGGTCTTGCATTGTCCCTTGCAGTTTACTTTGTCTGGCTGGAAACACCTGCCTCAGTTTGTAACAGGGTGAGAATCCTGCCAAGAAGTCCACCAAGCAAGCAGACGTTCGTCATTCAAAGACACAGTCCAATCCCTATCTGAGGCCACGGTCAGGGCCGGCTTGGGGAGAGGGAGGACTGCGCCTTGCTCAGGATCCGGCCTGGGCTGGGTTGGGCCGGGGTTTAGGGCACCGAGGCCTGACGCTAGGAGGCCTCAGCAGGCTGGAGGTGGAGAGTGCGGCGCGAGTGTTGGTCTTGCGTTGCTCAGCCCAAACTCCTCCTCCCGTGAAACTGCGGAGGCCGGCTTTTCTAGGAAACGAAACCGAAATTGAGCTCGAGCCATCTTGCCGCCCACGCAGACTTCGGGTGCAGGGCGATGCACGGCGGGTGTGTGCCATGGACCCGCGGCAGGTAAGCGGGGCGACTCTCCTCCCTAGCTCCGCTGGGCCGGCACCGGAGCTGGGACCCACCCGCCCCTCCATGTATGGGGACTGGGCCGTGTCCCAGCCACAGACCCGTTCCCTCTCCCGCCTCCCCGGCTCCGCTGGCTCAGCTTTCACACTTAGGCGCCTTTCCAGCACCCTTTGCACCTCCAGAGAGCCATCAGAAACTAAAACCAGCTCATATAACTGAGGAGAAAGTGTACAACAGCTTTATCCAGGATAGCTAAAACCGGAAAACACAAATGGTGGTCCTGGAAGCAACCCCGCGCACATCCAAATGCAAGGTGCTGAGCTGAAGGCAGACTAAAGAGGCTTCAGATGTGCGCACACGCATATGCCATTGTGAAAAACAAAGCTGTAGGGAGGAAGGGAGATCCGTGGGTGCCAGGGCTGTGTGAAGGGACGTGACTGACCGCTCAGGCCCCTAGGAAACTTCCGGGGGAAGTGGCAGTGTTGTGCATCTTGGTTGTTAAAACGCAGGCTACGTTAAAAGGGTAAACTTCACTATTTGTAAACTTCACTATATGTACACCTCAAGTTTAAAGTGGTTACATATTATTAATGTGTATTTTTAAAAAATCCTTCTTTAGCGGGATTAGAGCCACCAGCGTGTTACTTTCGGAGACCCGGTTGTAGAGGCAAGGAGCTTCTGTCTTGACCAGCAATAGAAAAGTTGAAAATTTTTAGACGCAGTGAATGTTAGATGACTTGTTACCCAGTTTGCTCAGTAAACAGACAAGAAGTGCGAGAGAAATGACCTTAAGGATTTCAGGAATGACCACCTTTCAGTGGCTGTCCACATGACTGTGTTCAAGTGGGGCTGGTTTTTAGGAACTCAAAAACCCTGGAGGGTAGGAAGCACAAAATTAATTCCATTCTCTCTACTCCTAATGTCTCCTAAAATAGCTGTTAATGGATCATTTTTTTTCCTCTATTTATCCTATGTGTTGTGTGTCTATCCATGAGGTACTCCCTTTGTTTACAGTAGAAGAGATTGTAACAGACATTTAGTCGCCTTTTTTGTTTTATTTAACATACTCCTATCACGTATTTATAAAAGCCCTGTGAATGTTGTTCCACAGTACGAATGTAACTTTCTCAGTTCTTTCAAAGGTGAACACTCAAGTGCTTGTTAGATTTTGGCTAGAGCAGCAGTTTAAGTCTAGAAATGATTTAGCTAAAAATTGACTTTAACCACCTTCAAACAAAGTTGGAGTTTTCATTGTTTTGTTGTTGTAGTTTTTACTTTTTGTTTAGTTATGTTTTGTTTTTTTGAGACAGGGTTACCCTATGTAATTCAGGCTGGCCTTGAACTCATTATGTACCCAACGTGGGCCTCAAACACATGACTTCCTCCTCCCTCAGCCTCCCAAGTGCTAGGATTGCAACCAGTGTGCCACCACACTGTCCCAAAACAGAGTTCTTTTTCCAGGGTTACTTATTTATTTATTTATTTGGGTACCAGGGATGAAACTTACAACTACACACTTGCAGGGCAGGTCCTTATGCCGCTGAGCTAAATCCTCAGCCTTTCAAGGTTACTTTTAAGAGCTAATCAGAAAAATCCCTAAAGTTCTCAAAATTCAGTTCTGTGGACTGAGTACTCTGTCTACGTCACTTCTGCTTCTAGCATCATGGGGCACAGGATGCATAAGAGGAGAAAGAGATGTGATTGCATGTGTAGGGACATCTTGTTCATGCAGCCATTAATTCCACAGATGTTGGTTCACTGTCAACTTTGCACCGGGTGCTAGGGAAGCAAAGGTGACTACGCTATATAATTCCTTTTCCCCTGGCACTCACTGTAGAGTCAGTAACAAGCCCATCAGTACTTTGCTGTGAAGATTAGGAGTGGAGTTGAGTGTAGGGCACCTGATGAGTTTAGGGCACCTGATGTTATTAATTATCTTGCAGATATACTATAGTCTATGTGTGCCGTTGTCATGTTTTAAAATTGAGTAGCTTTGATAGAAGTATGTGCTGTTACAGGTATTCAAGGAGAGGGACCTCTGTGATAATAAACTGGAAGACATTCCAGAGACAATTCAGAGGTGGTAGACAAGACAGGCCTTTGCAGCTACCTGGGTAGGCCTTGGAAGATGGAGACAGCAAACAGACAGGCAACAAGAGATGACTCAGATTTCTAACTGTAATAAGCAGAGAATGCCATCAACAGTAATAACAACAGGAGAGGGGGCTACCTTTGAAGGACAAATTAATTTGGTTCAGCATATGAGCATTTGAGATAATGGCAGGGTATCATATCTAACTAGGGAGTTGGAAATTCAGGTTTTAAGCCTCTGGCCAAAGTGCAGGTTGTAGTCAGTAGAGATCATACAGGTTTGAGTTACGTAAGAGGGCTAGCTTAATTTGTGGGGTGGATGAAATCAAGCTCACTGATCATGAGCTCAAGGCATGATAAGGAGTGTATCAGGCCAGAATGGGGAAGAAATAAAAGTGGCAGGGCACATATGAGGAGCAGTCCTCAGTAGAGTTAACAATGGAAGTTGTAGATGTATCAGGGAAATCATCTAAAAAAGAGCAAGGGTCAGCAGTCTACAGTCCACAGCCAAATCCAGCACTGTACATGTTTTTATAATAAGTCTCATGGTAAACAGTTAATAAAGTTTTATGAATCACATGTGGCTGCTTTTGCACAAGAATGGCAGACCTACCTGGTTCTTTCCAAAATATCTTTACTAGCCACTGGAAAGTTCAGGGTTTGAGGGACGTGGTGGTAGCCTAAGTTAGAGCAATAGTGGCATTCAAGGAACACCTGCACAAGACAACCAGTAGCAGGAAGGTGGAGGTAGAGGTCACTGGCAAAAAACTTAGGGGACCACATGGCCAGAATCTCCCGAGAGAGACTGCCAAGAACATTCAAATTCTGTCACTGTGATGGAGTGTGAGGAATACATAACTGAAATTGTTAAAAGGACACAGCTTCCTTGCAGCCTTCAGAGTGGTTAGAGAAGGAGACATAAACATGGGACTTGCTCTGAGGTGTGCAAGCCCCAGATAAAGGAAGCAAGGTACTACCTGACCTGCTAATCCTATGAGCACCTCCTATCTGAACCCTGTCCAGTGGGTAGTGCATAAATGTTTCTCAGTGGCTTGGTGTTCTGTAAAACTGAATTCTGGTCCTCCTGGTATGCCAACAGATTGGTCTCTGAGGGCCTGCAGCCCTTTGCCTTTTGTAAATCATTCTGTTATATTTTTCTTATAGCCTGGAAGACCACGATGGGGATTGGAGAGTCATTTAGTTAACCACAGGATATAACATTAAGAAAGAAAAATTTGTTCCATAGTTTTCTACTGTAAATTTGTATTTTAGCATAATAGTAGCCAACTGTGCATCTTGTCTGAGTAGCTGTGCCTGGGGGATACAGGAAGCAATATTTGTGTTTACTCACTTGATAGGAGAATGGCAAGGTGTGTGCACGTGTGCAGAAGTGTCAAACTGGGATTTTTACCCACATTTATGCTCCATCTAATAGGTTTTACATCTTTGTATCAGCATTGTGGGGGGTAAAATATACCCACACTATTGTTCTATGTAAACTTGTACTTTACCATCATGGAACGTCAGGTTATTTTGACTTCAGTGGTAAAAATATCCCAGTTCAGTACAATGCCATGTGAAGAACCAGATTTACAAGCTTTGGAAGAGTTCATAAGTGAATCATCAAGGGATGTATGCATGAAAAATGAAGATATGAGTTTGACATTGCCATGTGAGCCAAAGGTTCTGTGAAGGTGAAATGAACCCAATAATTATCCAATAAAGGAATGCAGACATCCTTGGTAGAGGTGATGAAGGAAATAACAATGTGCGTACATATTTGACCAGTTGAAATGGCACAAAATGGTCATGCCACCAGATGGAACTAGAATTAGGTCCAAAAATACAGTGAGGATCTATCTCTGCAGGGGTGAAACCTGTTGGATGGAATACCGGTACTGACCTTCAGTGGTGGAAATTTTTTGTAATAAGTGAAATGCTACAAGATGTGAAATTGAAATACAAGTAAAACATTCTGTATACAGCAATAGCCATATTCAACATTATGTTTATTATGACACCTCACTAGTTTAACTGAAAGCTTTCATACATCTGCTGTACTTATTAGGGCTTTCTCATGGTTATCACAGGAATGTAAGTGACTTATGGAAAAGTGATGGTGTGGGTTTGAGCTTTGTAAAATAACAATGACACTGAGGACATTTGATTTCCTTCCAAACTGCCTAGGTTTGATGACAAAATAACTGATAATCTGGCTGCTATTCACTGATTGTTGGAGAGATTTGTGGGTAGTTGTCAAGCAATTTACACAGTAATGAATACATCACTATCGATGAACATGTATTGCAGCATTTCATGGCGCTGTACCTTTATGCAGTATATGTCAAAAAAAATCTTCAAAGTATAGCATAAAAAATTATACCCTTGAAGATGTGAGGATGTATTATGCTTTCAATTTAGAAATTTAAGGCTTGCTACTCCCACCTCCCAAACTAATTGGAAAGTGATATTCGACAGTGGTTTACCAGTTTCCAGTTGATGCTGCATTTGCTAACAGCAAAAGTTGGCCAGGATGCTTTTTTATAAACACTCAATGGTGTGCAGGAACAAAGCAGAAACTCCAAATGAAATATTGCAATTTCAGAACAACTGTATAGTATAATCTTTGGATTTCAGAGAGATATGGCAAAGAAAAATGATACTACTGATGTCAACATTGCACCATGATGGAAATATTGATAGGGAACCAGGACAAAGTGGAAGCCTGAGATGGTAACTTCCTACAACAAAACCCATGGTAGAGTAAATGTTGTGAATGAGTTGTGCAGCAACTGTGATGTCACTCGAAACACAAAGCATTGGACGATGATTGTGTTTTATTCAATCTTAAACATGTGGTATAAATAGTTAAGAGAGTTTATAAAGAAAATAACAAGTGCACAATATCCCAAAGAAATTTTCTTAGAAGATTCGGACTAGGATTCATAAGAAACTATTTACAGCAGAGTAAGAACAAAATGCTTCTGCCCAAGGAACTACAGCAAAAAATACAACTGTGAAGCACACTGGTCAGCTGACAGAACATGCTGGTACAGCATCATGGAGACCTATTACACAACAGGAATACCAAAAAGTGTCAACTGTGACCTATAAGAAAGAACAGGAAAACAAAAGGACATAATACATGCTATTGGTGCAAGTGATACTTGTGCATGAAACATGAAGTTTTCATTTATGAAGACTGCCTTGTGATTGACTGTTGAAGCAAAGCTGATTTCTATGGTAGACTTGTTTGTATTTACATTGATGTTCAGATAGGTTTTTTTTTTTTTTTTAATCGGTACTGGGGATTGAACTCATGTCCGTCTGCTTGCAAGGCAGATGCTTATGCCGCTGAGCTAAATCCCCAGCCCCTCAGATAGGTTTTTATTTCTGATGTTATCTTTTAGGTATTGTAAGCAAATAAATAGTTGATGCGAAAGTCTTGATGTTGATTCTAAGACTCATTACATATTTGATATTTTATTACTGTATTTTCCTGCTATATGCATATTGTACAATATATTATGAAGCTCCTCATATATTGAAAAGTTCAATATATTAGCTCCTATATACATGAGAGGTGACAAGAATACCTGCCACACAGGAAAGGAAAGCTAAACAAGTGCTGTTAGTGTAAGTGAGATATGTGCGTGGAACGTGCAGTTGTCATGTGTGAAGATAGCCTTGGGTGTGACAATTGAAGCAAAGATTATTTTTGTTGTTCAGTTCTGTTGGTATTTTCACTGCAGTTCACATAGGAATTTATGCCTGATATTATCTTACAGGTTTTGTAAGCAAGTACACAGCTGATGTGAACTTGTTGATGTTTATTCTAAACACACGGTACATATTAAGAATTTGATACTTTATTTTATTCGTAATTTATGTTCCTGTTAACTACATATTATATAATAAGAATCTTCCAGAAAAAAAACAAAAAACAGTGAGACCAGCAAGCTGTCAAGGATGTCCTCTTAGGACAAAAAAGCTAGGAAAGCAAAACGCATGTGCTGTCAGTGTAAGCAATGCACACGTATGGAATGTATTGTTGTGTGAAGACTGCCTTAGGTGTGATAATGGAAGTTAAGGTTGTTTTTTTCTCAGAGTTCTATTGGTATTTTTATTGTAGTTCATATAGAAATTTAATTCTGTTGGTTTTTTTTTAGATTTTGTATATCGAAAAACAATTGGTGTTGAAAATTTGGATGCTTTTTTATAAACAATAAATATTAAAAATTCAGAATTTTGCTTTTTGATGTTTTTTCCTGTTAAGTACTTACTGTTTAGTAAAACTCATAAAATTAACTCATAATAGAAACATTATGAGTTATTTACTAAATATTATGAGTTTATTACTAAAAAATAAACATATGTATTATACACCTACAATGATGCACCTTCATGACCAAAATTGGCATAATGCACTGTGGACTACCTGACATTTGTTTTATCACAGTCATCCAGGTGACAGTTTGGGGTTTTGTGTGTGTGTGTTTTGGGGGGATTTATTGTTGTTGTTTGTTTGTTTGTTTTGAGCCACAGTCTCACTATGTAGTTGAAGCTAACATTGAACTCACTGTGTAGCTCAGGCTGTTCTTAATCTTGCATCAATCCTCCTGCCTCAGCCTCGTAAGTACTGCGATCACAGCCATGTACTACTACAACCAGCTGGGTGACATTTCAAAGACAAGAGGATTTGGGGATGGGCAACCTGACTTAAGGGTGATCTTGCTGATTCCTTAGTTCAGCTCTCTTGCCATTTTTATAGTTCTGCTTTGATTATCTTCACAACAACCATTTATTTATTTTTCTGATTTTTACAAGAATTTTGGAGGTTGGTCCTTCTTGGCCACCTGAATTCTGTTGAGGGGAGAGAAGAAGTTAGGTCATAGAGAATCTGTGCTGAGAGAGCCGAAGCTCTGTGTGCCATTGGGAGCCCTGTGGACTGTCTCCTGCTCCATTTCCCATTGGTGACCCCTAGTCAGTGCTTCTGAAGGGACTGAGTCACCCTAACTAGGCATCAGAGCAGCTTTATGGGCAGGGGTAGGGGGCCTCCCAGCATACCACCGCAACCCTGTTCACTTTCTTCCTTCATCTTGTCTCACAGGGCTGTTCCCTCCACAGACACTGTTCCCACCCCCGCCAGGACCATGAACATAACAAGGCCCCACAGCAGCTGTCGGGGCCAGGATCATACCTTGACAATTTCCGACTTCAGCAAATAGAGTTTCTCAGGGGCAGGCTTCCGGAAGTGCCCCTGCCTGGAAAACAGATACCATTACTGCCAATACCACCACCATTACTCCCAGGACTCCCGCCAGGGTATCCAGGACCACCTGCTGGAGACAGACAACTAGAGATTAGGGGTGTACCCAAGATCACACCTTTCCGAAATCCAGGATTCCAGGTAGGATCCCAGTTTCCTTCAGCATACGGCAGAGTGCCATGGAGAGGTGTTGATGGACTTTCCTCACAATTCCAGAAACTGAACATCAACCAGGATCGGGAGCAAAAGATCTTAAAGCTCTTAGAGGAGCTTGGAGAACAGTCAGCCACCACAGCACGTGATCTGGCTAGGAAGCTCAGGGTGCCGAAAAAGGAAGTCAATCAGGTTTTGTACTCCCTGGCAAAGCAGGGTAAGCTGCAGAAGAAAACAGGAACACCCCCTTTGTGGAGCATTGCAGCCTCAGCTCAGGCCCAGAATAAGCCCTGTGATGTTGTGAGACCACATAGTCACAGCCTGGGATCTTCAAACCCAAAGCCCAGTTTGGAAGCTGAAGACGAAAACTCCACATCCAACTTAGAAAATTCTCCTGAGCCTTTTGACATGGCTGAGATCAAGGAGAAAATCTGCAACTACCTATTCAATGTGTCTAACTCCTCTGCCCTGAATCTGGCTAAAAATATTGGCCTCACCAAAGCCCGAGATGTGAATGCAGTGCTGATGGACTTGGAGAGGCAGGGAGATGTCTACAGGCAAGGGGCAACACCTCCCATATGGTATTTGACAGACAAGAAACGTGAGAAGATGCAAATCAGGAGAAATTCACACAGTGTTCCTGCAGCCACTCTGCCTGCTGTCTCTGAGACTAAAACAAATGCCACGCTCCCCAACTGTCACTTATCCCCATCGGATGCGTCAAACAACATCATGGCCACAGCAAAAGTGGAGAATAGGCAGGAACCTGACGTGAAGTTAGAAAGTAGAGAAGAGGCTCGGCCAGGACCAATGAGACTGAAACCATCATTTTATCACAATAACCCCTCCAAAGCAGGGTATGTTGACTTTGAAAACGGTCAGTGGGCCACAGATGACATCCCAGATGACTTGAACAGTATCCGTGCAGCACCAGGTGAGTTTCGAGCCATCATGGAGATGCCCTCCTTCTACAGCCCTGGCTTACCACGGTGTTCACCCTACAAGAAACTGACAGAGTGTCAGCTGAAGAACCCCATCAGCGGGCTGTTAGAGTATGCACAGTTCGCTAGTCAGACGTGTGAGTTCAACCTCGTAGAGCAGAGTGGACCATCCCATGAACCTCGGTAAGAGCCCAGGAACTGTGCCTCGTGTTGGGGTCAGGGATTCACCTCTGAATGCAGTCTCAGCTGACTTGTGAGCAGGGACTTTTGGTGGCTTCTTTCCTCTTCCTTTTCTGCCTTTTGGCTAAATCACTTTGCCTTGGCCCTTCTCCAGATGATGAGCAGGGATTTGGCCAGCATCTTGGCTGTGCATTGGTTGAAATACTTCTCTAGCCATAATTGGCTTTCTTGCATCTGTGTCATGCCTGCCTCCTAAGGTATCCAGACATGAGACAGGAGATTGAACTCTCTCCCTCCAAGCTAAGTTCCTGAGACAGGAATAGGTGCGGGTTGGCTGGTGCAAGCTGCACACACTGAATGAGGGTGGCTGTGCTGACAGTAAAGCAAGCAGGGAGAGGGCGGTGGGGCAATGTATGCCTGCCTGTCTGCCTGGTAAAGGTATGGTTCTAATTTTATGCTCCATCTCTGTACAGATAGGTGGGCCAGCCCTTGCTGCTGCTCTTGAGCTAAAGAATCAGAAGTTCCCCAACTTAGACAACTGACCAAACTTACATTAGATGGTCCCATAGGTCAGAGACAGATTGAAGAAGATAGGTGGGCTCAGAAAGGAGCCGCAAAAGGCCTGGCAGACACTGACACTGGCCGCAGGGTGCAGCTAGAGAACCACTGAAGGTGACACCAACCTTTACATGGTCATGTGTTACTTAACAGTAGTGGGACATTGTGACAGATGTGTTTTTTTTTAAGCAGTGTCATTATTGTGCAAACATGGAGACAAACGGACACAGCCACACCACCAGGCAATGTAATCTTATGGGACCGCCATTGTATATGTGGTCTGTCTGAAATGTCATTGACCAAGATATTTCTGTGTTTATTTACATGGCTGTGTTTCTTGGGGTAAGATTCCCAGCCATGGCTCTAATTCTTGTCTAAACTACCTTCATGACACCAACTTAGCATTGCAGGGAAACTGTTAAGAAAAGAGGGTAAATCAGCCTAAAAGCTGGCAAGGCAAGGGCTGGTTTGTCTCTGGGAAAGAGCTTTGGGTGGCTGGCATTCACTTTCTTTCCCCACATCCTCAAGCCATAGATTTTGTGTTTAGTAGTTTTTTGGATGTCAGCTATAAGAAACGATTCTGTATCCACATATTTCAGAATACTTGATACCATGTTCAAGTACTTCAGGAGACTTAGGAGACCAAAAATTTGACCTATTTTTCTAAATGAAATCTTAGATCTGCCAAAGAATTGAAAAGCTTGAACTAAAGTGACCAGTCCAGAGGCCTAGAACAAATGTTTTTTGTGTTGTGAAGGAAGATTCATTCTTCTCAGGTTTGGTATAAATGAGAGCTCTAGGATGACTCAAAACAAGCTCTGAAAGTATTGTACTCTCAGGGCAGGTTATGGTCCCTGTACCCTGCTCTAGTAGTCTGCTGTTGTTCCTCCCATATCCAGCATCCCTTGTGCCCCCTCCAGGTTGTGAGGTCTCAGATAAGGGCCAGGTGTCAGGTATGTGAGGCTGGGCTGTACAATACCTTTGCTATGTGTTGCAGTGCTAGGGTTGAGCCCAAGGCTGTGTGCATGGTAAACAAGCATCCTCCCACTGAGCTGCATGTCTAGCCCTTTGCTCTCTTTGAGGCTCTCCCTTGAAGAGGCCAGTCTAACATAGTTGGTCTAGGCTGGAGACATAGTTGTTGACAGGACCATAATGCTGATTTTACCCCTCACCTCTTATATAGACTTTATTGTATTTTATGGCTAAGAGATAGTAAGTTTCCCCCGAGCAAGTTTTATATCACTCTCCTGTTGCTGAGCTTGCTCTGCTGAGCTTGCTTCACTGAGCCATATGGAGTCATTAGTTGCTTTTGTTCCCAAAAAGAAACTATAATCTAGGAATGATGACACATGCCTGTGTTCCAACCACTGAGGAGGTAGAGGCAGGAGGATCCCAGGTTCAGGGCCAGCCTGAACAACTCAATGAGACTTTGTCTCAAAATTTAAAAAAATAAAATAGGCTGAGGATGTAGCTCAGTGGTAGATCAAGCACTTGCCTAGCGTTCATGAGGCCCTGTGTTTGATTCCCCACCCCAACTTCACCAAGATAAAAGATGGGACAGGCTGGTTTTCCAAAGTGATAGGAGGTCCTGGTCCTCCCCTGCAGCTCCTGTGCAAGTCAAAAGGCCCTTAGTACAGTGGAGCATTCTGGGGTAGACACTGCTTTAGAAAGAGCAGAAGCCTAGGGTTCACACACTGATTGCTTTCCACCAAGATTTAAATACCAGGTTGTCATCGGTGGCCGAGAGTTTCCCCCAGCTGAAGCTGGCAGCAAGAAAGTGGCAAAGCAGGACGCAGCCATGAAAGCCATGACAATTCTGCTTCGGGAAGCCAAAGCTCAGGACAGTGGAAAGCCCGAAGATATATCCCTGTGTTCCACCGAGATGGAATTAGAGAAGGTAGGTGTCCAGCCCTCCTGGGGACATCCTTTCAAGGTTGATGTCGGGGATGCATCAGGGTTTTAACTGGCCCTGGAAGTGCTCCAAGAGTAGAGTGTCACTGCCTTTCTGAGGCAGCATCCATCTTACCTTTCCTCCACAGGCAGCTCCTTTTTTGCTCCCATCCCAAGCTGACTGTATTTCCACAGTGTACAAAAGAGACCTGAAGGTTCCCTGACCTCTCTGGGAGAATAACCTTCCAATCCTTCCACGCCTTGGAAATCCTTAGCAGCCCCCTTCCTGTGGACAGCCAGCTCCCCACATTATGCTATCCACAAGAAATTCTCCCATCACACCCTTTCTGCTGTGCTGGACTGACGAGTATTTTCTTGTATTTATTTTTTTGTTTTGTGTTTTCTTCTTGTCTCTCATTTTCTTTAGACAGAACCCCAGCCCCCCACCCATTCAGCCTCATCCTTGTTTTCTGGGAAGAGCCCTGTCACGACATTGCTGGAATGCATGCACAAATTGGGGAACTCCTGTGAATTCCGTCTTCTGTCCAAAGAAGGACCCGCACACGACCCCAAGTATGTCTGTGTGCCATTAATTTTCCTTTTCTCCTCAGAGGTGGCAGATGACCTAGTGAGCAGTTTCTCCTGTTTCAGTATGGAAAAGGGAGGGCCCTTTCAGGGCCTCATCACTGCCTGTAAAGCAGAGAGACTGAGATTAGGAGTTCAAAGGAGCAAGCATTAGAGAGGCTCCCAGCTTTGAGGTCACCGTTGATAGGAAGAGATGGCACAGGTCCTGCCTGAGCAGCTGTGTTTAAGCATCTATAGACTTTTGTGTGCCAGAAAAGTGGCCTATTGTAGCTTTGTGGTAGTCTTTGCTTAACATGTACAAGGCCCTAGGTTCAAAATTTGCATATTGAATGGGGTTAGGCAAGCTAAGACCACTGGGGGCAGGAGGTGGTGGGAGCACTGGCTGTGAGTGAAGTGACAAACAGCAAAGGCACTCAGCCTGACTAGTCAGACGTATCTCAATCCACTCCTTCAATGTCTTTTCCTTCATTTCCTGTCAGGTTCCAGTACTGTGTTGCAGTTGGAGCTCAAACTTTCCCCACTGTGAGCGCCCCCAGCAAGAAGGTGGCAAAGCAGATGGCTGCAGAGGAAGCCATGAAAGCCCTGCATGAGGAAGCCACCAATGCAGCTGACAACCAGGTGGGCGTTTTCCTGCCGTTCCCAGGTTTAGCAGCTGAGCGTGATGGGATGACCTGTGATTCCCTTAGTTTCCCGATATGATTCTGGTTCTTCTTTGGCTAATTCTCTTCTAGTCTGGAGATACAAACTCTGAATCACTTGATACCTTGGAGTCTGGGGTGCCCAACAACATCCGGCGGATTGGCGAGCTCGTCAGGTACCTGAACACCAACCCTGTGGGCGGCCTGCTGGAGTATGCCCGCTCGCATGGCTTCGCTGCCGAGTTCAAGCTAATCGACCAGTCCGGACCTCCTCATGAGCCAAAGTGAGTGTCCCATGCTGGGTGGGGATGGCCCATACCCTGGGGCGTGTGCATTAGCCATCTGCACAGGAGGGGCCAGTCAAGGTGAGTGGTCTAGCTGTGTGGGCATTGCCTCTCAGCAGACACGGGTGAGCTTTAAACTCACTGAGAAAGTACCAGTGAAAATCCTCATTTCTGTCCCGGATTTCTAGTTTCTTTCCCCAGACCCATGTCCTGTTACATAAGTCCTTCTAAAATTTCTGTGCATAATGTTTCCCCTTCTTTTTTCTTTTCTTTTCTTTTCTTTTTTTTTTTTTTTTTGTCATGGTGTGGCACAAACCTCGGGCCTCTCGTGCATGCTAGGTAAATGCTGTATCACTGAACTACATCCTCAGCCTTCTTTTTTTAAACATAAGCGTGCCTCATATTTTCTGTTCCACACTTCCTACCAATGTTTCTCACAGCATTACATACCAGCTTATGTAGACCCAACAGCCACATAGTAGTCATTGTAGAGATACTTACAGTTTTTAAATTATCTGTTAAAAGGCAGGCATAGTGGTACATCCTGTAATCCCAGCACTGTGGGAGGCTGAGGTAGGAGAAATTTCAAGTTTTAGCCCTGCCTGAGTAACTTAAAGACCTTGTGAAATCCTGTTTCTACATTAGAAAACTAAGAAATGGCTAGAGATATAGCTTAATATAAAAACCTTGGTTTCACTCCTCAGGACAGGAGGAGGGCTAATAAATAAAAGATTTGAAACCCTTTCTAAAGTGGATATCCAAGCACCACCATCCAATTTTAAGAAGTGCAATGTTATTGTTACCTTGGAAGCTACTCCCACCCCAGTATAATTTATTTCAGCAACTTCCAGTGACATTCAGGTGTTTTGGTTACACAAGTAGAAATCCTCCATGAATGTCCATGTATGTGTGTTTTGGCTTACACTGCACAATTGTAGTGTACATTTTACAAGTGAAATTTCTGGGCTGTGGATTGTGTACATTTTTCTGTTTAAAAAATTTTTATATAGGTAATAGACTATTAAAAATAGTAAAAGTCCCTCAATTCTCCCATAAGCCTAGCTCTCATGTCATATTTATACTTTCTCAAGTCAAAATGCATGAACTTTACATTATGAATCTTTCCTAAGCATCTTTGTATAAATGTGGGCAAGGACGTCTCCCCCTAGTTTTTACACAAAAATGCATATAGGTATTTTCTGACAGCTTGAATATTGTACGACTATAGTGTGGAAGAGTCACCGTAACACTCTGTATTTTCATATAGCTGCAAAGGATAGTGCTACAGAGCACAGCTTTACTGCTATTTAGCCAGTCCCTGTTGATGAACATTTGGATTATTTACAGACTTGCTTATAAACAAGACTACAATGAATAACATGTTTATAAGCAATTGAGTTTTTGTAAACATGCCAGGGTTTCCTCCAATAACCGGTTTATTCTTCCCCCAGTGATGGCTCTTGTCTGGCTCCACCCAGACTCACACAGTATTATCAAAATTCTTATGTTTACTATTCTAAAATGTGAAGAATGATATCTCGGTGCAGTTCACAGATTAGACTAAGTTAGGGTGTTTATTATTATTTACCCTGTTAATAAAGGAGAAAAACCATGTAATCGTCTTTAGAGATTCTAAAAAGGTGTGTATAAAATTGAATGTCTATTCAGGTTAAAAAATTATCAATAAAATAGAAATTATCAAATCCTCCTTAGCATGTTAAAAATACACATCCAAAGTCAAAATGCAGCAGCTTATTTAATGATGAACCTAGGACTCTTCTCATTAAATTTAGCAGGAAGATGTAGATACCAGTGTCCTCTTCATTGCATATTATTGAGGAATTACTGGCCAGTGCCAGTTAAAAAAGAAGTAAGTATATGAAGAAGCAAAAGGATGTAAAATCATCATTATTTGCAGATGATATGATTGTATACTTGGTCTACTTGTAAGAAAACTAAAGGAAATTCAAACAAAGCCAGCTTTTACACATTACTATGTAATTCCTTACTTTTATCAGCTCTCTTCCAAGGGTAAATCCAGCAATTTACTGCTCCACAAAATGAAAGAAATGGCCACAAAAAGACTTGTACAAGGATGCTCACAGAGCCAGGTATTGTGGTACAGGCCTGTAATTTAACCTAGGTTGAGGCTGAGGCAAGATGCAAGTTCAAGGCCAACCTGGGCAACTTAGCAAAATTCTATCTCAAAACTAAAACGGGCTGAGGATGTAGCTTAGTGTGAAGGTGCTGGGATCAACCCCCAGTATTGCAAAATAGTAATAATAATAAGACTCAGGATATAGCAATAAGCAAGGATAATCTTGGGGGTTTTTTTCCCCTTACCTGCCAGAGGTTGAACCTCAGACCTTGAGCATGTTAAGGGCTGGTCTACCAGAGCCACACCCTGGTGCAGGAAAATCCATTTTATGTGACAGCAGCTGCTTCCAGAACCTGATAAAAACAGCAATAGAATTTATTTTGAAACTGGAAAAATTGATTCTGAAATAATTATAAAAAATAAGTAGTAACTAGGAAAGCTCAGAAAAAGAAGGGTAAGAAGGCATATTGATCCTAACAGATTTTTAAAAAATGTTGTAATGCTGGGTATAATACCTATAATCTATAATCTCAGCACTTAGGAGACTGCCACAGCAGGAGTGCTGCAAGTGTGAGGCCAGCCTGGGCTACACAGTGAGTTGAAGGTCAGCCGGAGCTGTGTAGCCAGACCCTGTGTCTCCCGCCTCCCCCCGCCAAAATTGTACTAGTTTTTGGCTAGAAAAGCACTTTAGTGGATCAGATGGGAGCACCTAAAAGCCTAGATAGGATGGGAACTTTAGACACTGTAACCATGATCTTCAAATCATTGTGGTGCTAGGGGACAGCAAGGGTGGGGAGCCTGTCCACCTTAACAGCCAGATTCAGGCTTTGCCTGTTCTTTGCATCTGAACTCCCACAGAGCCAAGGCTGAAATGGGAAATAAATAAAATCAGTAGATAGAAAGTAGTGATGTTCTCGAATCTTTGAGTAAAGATTGAGTAAATCCTTGAATCTTTGAGTAAAGCCTTTGCTATCAACACACAAAACATGGGATATAAAGAAAGAAGCCTGGAAAATGTAATGCAAAAATCAGTCCGTGTAGAAGGAGCCCCTGGCCGGGAAATGCCACAGTACCCAACAGCCAGAGGGCTAATTTCTTAGGAGGTAAGAACTTTTTTGTAGGAAATCTCAGAGAACATGTACATGAACTGCACATTCACAGAAATAACACATGGGTTTTTGTCTTCAACCTTGCCTGGTAAATTATGTTTACACATTGAAGGGGTGCTTTTCACTGTATGCTCAGCCATTTGAATTTGTGTTGTGTTGTATCTAATTTTTAAGTTGAACATGTCATTAAAGAGAAGAGCTCATTAAAACAGGGCTTTGTTATTTTAAATTTGTTGTCAGTAGTAAATGATACCACTCATGTTTGTATGTTATTTGCGTTTCCTTTTCTGTGAACTCTTTCTTTGTCTTTATGCAGTTTTCCTTTGCTTGGTTGTTTTGTGATTTGCTCGTATGTTTGTTTGTTTGTTTTGATTGCTGCTCCTAAGTGGTGTAGCAGGTAGAACTTTTAATATCATAAGAACATTAGCCCTTTGATCAGAGTCACCCAATTTAAAACTCTCAGGTTAGAAGAGGCCACAGAGGCCTCTCATCGTCCCCTTGGGCAGAATGTCTGTGCCCTGTGTTGAAGCCACCTGGGAGGAAGCATCACAGTCTCACTTCAGCTGTTCCTCTTTCGGTTTTTCTTGCACCTCTAGCTTTCAGCTGATTCCTCCATGTGGTATGTTCAGTCCTTTTCTTTCTCTTCTCTGAAATCTTCTATACCTCTTTACTGAGACTTGAAGTCAGCCATTCACACAGAATGGAAGAACTTCCTTTGGTGGTGAGGAGAAGGAGAGGTGCTCGGGATTGAACCTAGGCGCTTTGCACTGAGCTACATGTGCAGACTTTTTTATGTTTTAGTGTGAGACAGGGTCTCACTGACTTTCCCAGGCTGTGCACAAATTTGTGAGCCTCCTGCCTCAGCTTCTCTAGAATGTAAGAACTTCTTAGGAGCTAAATTGAAGATACAAAAATTTTTGCCCACATGTGCAGCAGACATGTACCCACGTACAGGGCAGGAATCTGCCATGTGAAGCAATGTGCAGTATGTTGTGGGGACACAGGACATTGGCCTCAGCTGTCCTGGGGAGTCAGGGTTGCTTATACAGTTATGTAAGAAGGGAAATGCTAATGCATAGTGGTGTTTATTGGCTACCACATGCAGTAAATTATGTTACTTCCTTATGTGAATTATGCTGGGTCCTCTGTGTTTTCCTTTCTCTTGGTGACCATTACTGATTCCATGATTTTTATAATCGAACTACTGGAGAGTGCTAAGTGTATCTCTAGCCCAAAACTTCTCTACAATAGAAATACCTCTTACAAGATGCTTCCTTGTCGCTTCTACTTAGCCAGATGTCTTGAGCATGACAAGCACAAAGCAGAACCCTTGGTTTTTGCCATCTTTAAGTCTTCTCCCACTGTGGATTCTGTCTCAATAAATGAAATCACTGTTCGGTGCTCAGACCAAGAACTCCATGCCTTCACCTCCGTCAGCCAAGCTATCCTTAAATTCTATTGGTTATACCTGTCATTTTTTCTGCTCTCTCTCTCTCTCTCTCTCTCTCTCTCTCTCTCTCTCTCTCTCTCTCTCTCTCTGTGTGTGTGTGTGTGTATAGGCCTGAGGGTCACCCCTGGGTTCTTGCACATGCCTAGCCAGTGCTCTACCGCTGAGCTACACTCTCAGCCTAACACTGACAATTCTGTTCCTCAATATCAATACTCCTGTTTAAGCTACCATCTTCTCTTACGTGGACAATCCTGGAAGCCTCCTAGTTGGCGTCTCTTCTGGATTCAGTTAATACATATCTGCAGAATACCTTCTGTCTGTTAGTAACAGAGTCACCACAGAAGTGTATGATCTCATGATTACAAAGGGCTGGGGTTGGTGTGCTGTGAGAGTCAGAACAAGAAGGGCTTCCCGGGATATGGTCCCTGAGCTGAGCCCTTAAGTATTCTCAAGAGAGGAAAGGCTATAGAAAGGACACAAGGCAGCTGGCCTCCACATCTGCAAGTCCTGTGTCTATGGATTAACCAAGCACATATCGAAAAAATTTGTTAATTGCATCTGTGCTGAACACTTTTATTAGTAGTCCCTAAGCCATCCATTATAACAAGTACTTACATAGCACTTCATTGTATTAAGTGCTGGAAGCGACTAGAGATGATTCAGAGTACACAGCAGCATTGCATAGGTCACATGAAAATAACACACCATTTTATATAAAGGCTTTGTGCATCTTCTGACTTTGGTACTCATGGAGCGGGTGGACACTGTGCCCATGGATGCCAAGAGACTCCTGTATATATCTAGTGGGAGAAAAGCAGAGTGATCAGGGGACCTGGTGCCCAAAGGCTGGGCATGGGGCCAGCTTTGGGGTCAGCTGGTGCTTTACCACGGAAGTAGCGGAGAGTGGTGGGGGACTCTATGTGGAGGGGCATTTGCCTCTCCGTCTCTTCCCTTTTCTAATGTCTCTACTAAAGTTTCTTTCCTACTCAGAGTAAACCATTTTGGATGTTTTTGTCAGAGTCCCAGCAATACCTGAGTCCCTCCACACTGATAAACTCACCTCCCACTTGAGAACACAGCAATAATCATATGAGAAATGACCTTATCTTATAATACCAAGCCACATCCTGACCACCTTCTGAACTGTATCTGCCGGCAAGTGTGAGGGAAGCACCTTCCTCCTGCTCCTGGCTCTTGTGCACCGTTCCCTCCTGTCTGCTCTAGGCCTGTGCTTTTGCAGCATCTCCAATCTGCACATCATTTTTGGCCACATCTCTATAGGTTGCTCACCATCAGTCTATAAATAGGCACATGACCGTCTTTTAAAAACAGTGAGGGACTTCATATCTGCCTTCTAGGTTTCTGTTCTCATTTCTGTTTCTCTCTTGGCTGAACCTCTTAAAGCAATTACTCGTGCTTATTGTCACTTTTAACTCCTTCTCCTAGAGAGGCTAACCACCCACCACATGTGGTTAGAGAGCACTTGAAATGTGGCTAGTTTGACAGACTGAATTATTAATTATGTTTAATTTTAATTGCTTTAAACAGAACAGTCTCATGTGACTATCAGTGGCTACCATTTTGGATGGCACAACTCTGAAGAATTATAATTGCATAATCTTAAAATCTGGGTTAAAAATCGAAGCTGGGATTCCCACCAGTAAATGAGAATCTAATAGGATTCTTGAAACTTCACCTGGTAGATTTCCAAGCTATTTGGCTCCTTTATGCTCTTCCTCTGTATTCCCAGAAAGCGAAAGCAAGGAGCTATGGGGAGCATGCCCCTGCCCATCTGTTAGGCCTCACTGTCAACAGAGGCCTGGGTCTCAGATCCATCCTCCCATTGTCCATGTCCACTGAGAGCCTGCCAGGAATCACAAAGTAACTCTTCAGGAAAGCTTTGTCCTTGGCCTGCAGCACATCTTGACATAATGACCTCCCCAGGTGAAGGCTTTGAGAGCTAATCAGGAGGGAGATGAAATGGATGTGGGTAAAAATGTGTATTAAGGAAGAGTGATTCAGCTGGGAAGAAGTTCATTCCCTTCTCATTTCTGCCTAAGAAGAAAGTCCACATTTGGTGCTCCTTCTTCAGTCTCATTACTACTTCCTGGTCTTCTTTATGGTAAAGACTGTCAGAGTTTTCACAGGTGCAGTGCAACATCTAGTCAGAATTTAATATGGTGGTGTCATATTCCATTTTATAGCCTTCTATGGCACTGGTTTTCCCACTTGTAAAATACGAAGTTTTCTTTTTAAATGTGTTTGTATTGCAAAGACTTGGTTTAGAGAAAACTACTAAGTAATAGTTTGGGTGACCTTTGGACCTAGCAACAATCATGTTGCAATTCATAAATGTCCTAAATCTGGGGAACGCAGCCTTAAAAATGAACTTGCAAGACTGACAGGTCCATGTGTTTGCAAGACTGGCCATTTCTTAAGCAAAAATAGCTCATTCCTTGCATAGCTGTCAAGGCCCGGTGCCTGTCTTCATCCTGTTTCTCATCCCACAGGTTTGTTTACCAAGCAAAAGTCGGGGGGCGTTGGTTTCCAGCGGTCTGTGCCCACAGCAAGAAGCAAGGCAAGCAGGAAGCAGCCGACGCGGCCCTCCGTGTCTTGATTGGGGAGAACGAGAAGGCAGAGCGCATGGGTTTCACAGAGGTAACCCCAGTGACAGGGGCCAGTCTCAGAAGAACTATGCTCCTCCTCTCCAGGTCCCCAGATGCACAGCCAAAGACAGTTAAGACGTCTACTTTTCGTGCTCTCTTTTCTGGGGGGAGGGGCATGCAGCTCCTCTCTGAGTGGAGTTGGCTGGTCACTGCTGTCATGTGAATTGCTCCTAGGCCTTAGCACTAGCCTCGATGCAGCATATAGCGGGGACACTAGAGGTGAGAGGGGAAAGATGACGCACAGTCCAGGAGACCGTGACCTCTTGCCCGCTGTGAAATATGGTGGGCATGGCTGCATGCCCTGACACTGCCACCTGTCCCCACAGCTTCCACTCACTGGCAGCACCTTCCATGACCAGATAGCGATGCTGAGCCACCGGTGCTTCAATGCCCTCACCAACAGTTTTCAGCCCTCCTTGCTTGGCCGGAAGATCCTGGCTGCCATCATTATGAAGAAGGACTCTGAGGACATGGGTGTCGTGGTCAGCTTGGGGACAGGTGCGTGTTCCCACAGGGGCTCGAAGCAGGTTCCCTTCAACCTGTACTAGAGTTCATGTGACAAGCATGAAGAAGAAAAGACTCATTTCACACAGCCCTGCCTGTCTGCCAGAGTGATGGCACTAAAATGTTGGTAAGCTCTGCACAGATATCCCAAAATCTGACAGGCTCTGAAATCTGAAACACCTGGTTCCAAGCATTTTGGGTAAGAGTTTGTTTTAGCTTCACTCAGCTCCTGAGATTTCTGATCATTTAGAGCTTAAGAACCTTCAGGCCTTAAAAACGGACAGCCTCTGCCCAGCTTGCCAGCCTCTTCCTCTGATTATTCCATTCTGCTTTAAATGCCTTCCCAGGGAATCGCTGTGTGAAAGGAGATTCTCTCAGCCTAAAGGGAGAAACTGTCAACGACTGCCATGCAGAAATTATCTCCCGGAGGGGTTTCATCAGGTGAGCGAGGTCAGAGTGGCTCCTTGGCTTGGCTGTGTTCCAGGCATCCCTTGCCTATTACCTCTTGTCCCACCAGGGCACCCCGGCTTCTGGCCACTCCTCCCTGCACCCAGCACACAGAGACACTGCCTGGCCATGCACCCTTCCCCTATAGCCCAGATCCTGGGACCTCTGTCCCCTCTCACCGGCTGCATGTGCTCCTCAGCTTGTTTCTCAACCTTTTTCTGCTAATTATCCTTCATGCCTTTTTTTTTTTTTTTAATGTAGTAAAAATAGAACAATACAGAACAAAGCCAATAGAGACAATGTAGTTACATTGATACAGAACTTCAAGGCAGGATACTGGGATAGTAGTAATAGGTACTATAGTGTGTCTTGTTATCTTCACAATATTTGTGCAGTCAGTTAGGGATAGCTAAATCAAACCAATAACAGAACATTGTAAAACCAACTGAAGGAGAATATTGAATAGAGCAAAAGACTCATTACAAAACATAACAGTGAAAATACCTTTGCTTCAAACAGAACAGAGAAGGATATCCCCCATATTTGCTATATTGCCTATGGTCATCCTCCCAAGAGATGCTCAGAGCTCTCTCTCCAGTTGCTGGGGTGGGAGGGGAGATGTGTGATTCTCAGCCTGCACACAGGTAGGCTCACGGGAACAGCTGACTGGTTCTCCTCCCAGCCGGCGCCAGGGGCGCTTACCAAGCAGGCAGGCAAATTGCTTTCTTGTGCAGCTGCCTACGTCCCAACATGCTTCACACCTTTTTCAAACTCAAAATGGCCCTGGGGATGAGGGACCCCTCTCTCGTCATCTGAGGACTTGACAACAGCCTGAACTCTCTGACCACATTCTCTGATTTACCTTGTCTTTATTGTATGAAGGGAAGAAGCAACAGCCTCCTGTATGCCTTAAATCAGTTTCTCTAAAATCCCTATAGCCACCATAGCAAGGTCCCCCCTACAGAAATGCAATGAATGGAAAAGATTACTGTTGCATCATGCCCTGCTGACGGCCCTGCGTCCTCGAGCTGCTTCATCCCTGGGAGTCTGCACCAGTCAGCTCTTCTTCCTGGGCGCTCAGTGGAGTCAGGGCAGAGAGGCACAGGCTGCTCTCCCCAGAAGGGGACCTACCTTCCTGACCACACTTTGCTTTTGCAGGTTTCTCTACAGTGAGTTAATGAAATACAACTCCCAGACGGCAAAGGATAGTATATTTGAGCCTGCTAGGGGAGGAGAAAAACTCCAAATAAAGAAGTCTGTCTCATTTCATCTCTATATAAGGTCTGTAGCACTTTCACTGCTGCCAGCCCAGGTTCCACCCAGCCCCCAGGAGTGAGTCCCCACAGAGCCCTGGCCACTGAACCTGACCTTACCCTGTAGCCCATCCCCGACTCCCACATACTCTGCCCCCTTGCCCCATGGCCAGGGCAGGCAATGCTCCTGGCTTTGACCACAGCCACCTTTGAGCCCTGCAGGGGTGGAGGGAAGTCAGCATGGTGAGCAGGGAGGGAGACCATGTAGTGACAACCCTGTTTGCAGCACTGCGCCCTGTGGAGATGGTGCCCTCTTTGACAAGTCCTGTAGTGATCGGGCTGTGGAAAGCACAGATTCTCGCCACTACCCTGTCTTTGAGAATCCCAAACAAGGCAAGCTCCGCACAAAGGTGGAAAATGGTGAGTGACACATGATCTCCTTCCATCCCACAAGCACTTTACAGGGTTTGCCTTGGGTCAGCGAGCAAAGAGGAAGAGCCAGGTGGGGAGGTCTGCAGGAAGAGTGCTTCTATCTCAAGTCTGTGAGCTTGGGGCCAGGGACTTTGCCAATCCGGATCTCAGCAGAGTCTGGCAGGAAACAAAAGATGAGAGTCATCATCCTGTGGCATCTGCATGGCTGTGGGATGGATAGGAGAGCCCGGGTGAGGGCGGCAGAAGTGACATTGAGGGTCTGGCTCTCATGTCTGGCTCCTGTTGTCTGCAGTGCTGCACCCTGTCCACCAGCTTCTTCACCTCTTCTGGCTTCCACCACCCCCTCCTGTCTCCTCACATCACTGCTGTTCCCGCCACACTTAGCAGCCATCTATGTGGTCCTCAGACAGATATGTCACCTCCCTGCTGAGCACCCTAAAGCAGTGGTGGCAAACCAGAGGCAGGCATGTTGTTTTTTGTTTTAAACAGCTCTTAAAAGGTGTTAATGTATGAGTTGTATCCTCTGAACTAAAACGTCAGTATTCAAGTTTAATTGTAGTGTTTGCACACTGCAATAAATATACAAGTTTGGGTTACAGTTTGGGCACTTGGTCTCTAAAAGGTTCGCCATCACTGATCTAGGGTATAAGCTGACGACCCAGCAGCTGACTCGCAGGAGTATATAAGAAACAAAAACGTCTGAGAGATAGCAACATCCATCCCTGGATGAATGCACTAATACAGTACAGTACATCCATATGTAACCATCAGAAGAAATGCAGTATTCATGTACAGCCTAGATGAATGCGAAAATAAAGTCCTGAATGAGAAGAGCCAGTCATAGGGACCAGTATTCAGTCCAGTGGCACAAGCACCTACCTGGCAAGTGCAAGGTTGTAAGTTCAATTTCCATACCAAAAGGGGGGAAAAAAAAGCCAGTCTCAGAAGGTCACGTGGTGTATGATTCCAGTTACATGCATCGCCTGGAACAGATCCATAGAGACAGGAAGTCTGTTAGTAAGTGCCCAGCACTGGGGCTGGAGAAAAGGGGAGAGCAGGTAGAGGGTGTTTTTAGGGGGTGATAAAATGTCCTGAAATTGATTGCAGTGATGGATGCACAATTATAAAACATTAAAAAGATATTAGAAATCACTGAATTTTTAGGGGCTGGGGATTTAGCTCAGCGGCATAAGCACCTGCCTTGCAAGAAGGCGGTCATGTGTTCGATCCCCGGTACCGATAAAAAGTGAAAAGTTAAAAAAAAGTTAAAAAGTTAAAAAAAGAGAAATCACTGAATTTTAGGTTGTAGAAAGGTGAGTTTTACAGTGTTCAGATGTATGTCAATAAAGCCGTTACTATTTTTAAAACAAAAACAAAAAACAGAAACGTCCTGTCAGTTTCTTCCTGCACTTTCCAGAAGGCAGACCTGCTCTGACCTCAGCCTCCACTCACCCGCACCACCCTTCCTCTCGTGCACGGGCACTCCAGGTTCATCAGCTCTTTCATCAGCTCCCTGCGCCACCCAGCCCTTTCAGCCGCAGGGCCTTTGCTGCTGCTGTTCCCTGGGTCAGTGGCACTCCAGCTATTCCTTGTCTCTGATTCCACAGCTATCCCAGAGATTTTCCTGTGTGTCTCCCAACATAGCTCTCTCAAATGCTCCAAAGCACTAAGCAGCTAGGATTCCTGCGGAGGGACAGGTTGCTTGGTCAGCGTGTCTCTGGTCCCTTTCTGGACCTCAGCCTGTGCACACTGAAGGAGGACTAGGATCTCACTGAAGTTTACTCCTCACTGCTGCCCAGCACCAGGTGTAGTGCACAGCATACAGTAGATGCCCACGAGTGGTTTGGCCCTGGATCTCGTGGCTCTGACTCCCATCTCTCCTGCAGGGGAAGGCACAATCCCCGTAGAGTCCAGCGACATTGTGCCTACATGGGATGGCATTCGGCTTGGGGAGAGACTCCGGACCATGTCCTGTAGTGACAAAATCCTGCGCTGGAATGTTCTAGGCTTGCAGGGGGCGCTGTTGACTCACTTCTTACATCCTGTGTATCTGAAATCTGTCACACTGGGTAAGGAGAGAAAAGGGGAATGTAGGTAGAGGGTGTTTTTAGCGGGTGATAAAATGTTCTGAAATTGATTGCAGTGGTGGCACTGGAACCCATCTGCCCTTCTTGCTCCAAATCCCAGTAGACTGCATGCTTTGTCACCAGGTGTTGATAGGATGCCTCCCCTTTTGCAAAGCAAGGTTGACTGAGTCACTAATGGTTCTGAGAGCCCAGTCTGCACAGCCAGGAAAGTGTGCCTCATGGTCTTTCCCAAGATGCCCTGAAGAAATCAGCCACTTACAATGGCGGGGTCTTTGTTTCTTTGCTTTCCCCAGACTGGGCCTTACCTGGAATCTTCTGTTATGGTCCCACTTATATCCTGGGGAGCCACAATTACTTCTCTGTCTTGACACCTCTGTTTTGGGCCTTGGGACTCCCCGCAAGCCTCTGTTAGGCTCTGTTAGGATCTGGTGCAAGCACGGATATATACTCTTCTTTCTTTGTACCCAGGTTACCTTTTCAGCCAAGGGCATCTGACCCGTGCTATTTGCTGTCGTGTGACAAGAGATGGGAGTGTGTTTGAAGATGGACTACGATACCCATTTATTGTCAACCACCCCAAGGTGCTCTGACCCCATTCTATTTTCTCTTCAGTTTATTGTTGTTTTTTCTTTTCAATACGTCCTATCTGCAGAGAAAAAGTATACTCTGTGGACCAGGAGAGGCAGTGTTTGTGCACCAAGACCCCCTGTTTCCCCCTCTAGTCTGGGATTAGTCTGAATTGATGTAGAGTCAAGCTTCTGCTTGGTCATGGTCAAACACATGCTAAATGAAGGAGGAAGGATTGTGGCCCCTCATGTGCTCTTTGCTGTGAGCCCTGTGTCCCTCTTTCGAAACCATATCCCTGAAAGGATTCTCTCTTTAATTTTTCTGGAATCTCCAGGTGGGCCGAGTCAGTGTATATGATTCCAAAAGGCAGTCCGGGAAGACTAAAGAGACGAGTGTCAACTGGTGTTTGGCTGATGGCTATGACCTAGAGATCCTGGATGGCACTAGGGGCACCGTGGACGGGTAAGAAGGTGGGAGGGCACAGACAAGTGGGCTGAGCTCACCGGCTGCCCATCTGCAGAGCTGAGGAGCCACTTACTGTCCCACATGGGCTCCTGACTCTACTGACCTGGATGAGTCACAAATGCTTTTGTCCCCAGGCCACGGAATGAACTATCCCGGGTCTCCAAGAAGAACATTTTTCTTCAATTTAAGAAGCTCTGCTCCTTCCGTTACCGCAGGGATTTACTGAAACTCTCCTATGGTGAGGCCAAGAAAGCTGCCCGGGACTACGAGACAACCAAGAACTACTTCAAAAAAAGTCTGAAGGACATGGGCTATGGGAACTGGATTAGTAAACCCCAGGAGGAAAAGAACTTTTATCTCTGCCCAGTGCCCAACGACTGAGGGCCCAGCCTGGCACTACTGAGAGAGGGAGGTCTTAGCATTCCTCAGATTCCTCATCACATTGGTCAGGACTTTTACAGTTCTGTTTTGTGTTGTTTTTACATTTTGTTTTAATGGAGTCCTTGTTACTGGTACTAAAGCCTGGATTCCCATTTACTCTGCTTGCTTGGGGATTTTTAGGCAGAGCCTAGTCCAAGTTCCATCTCTTTTCCCAAGTATGGAAACAGAGACTTGGAGGAAGGAGAAAGGGTTTATCTTTCCACCCAAACATGCAGAGCCTCCAAGCACCTGCTGCCCACTTCCTCTTCTTAAGTTTTGTTTTGTTTTTTTCCATTTCCTTTTCCTTTGTGTTTGCTACACTCACCTCTCATGGACTTCATTAAGTTCCAGTCAGTTCTCTGCAAATCATGTCGGGAACTCACGGTTTCATTCACGGATTCCACAGGCCCAGGTCCTTTCCTTTCTGAGAGTCCTTCCTGTGATCATCAGATTTCTCCCTCCCAACCCAAAGGGTAAAGAGGTGAGCTTGAAGAATTTGGTGCACCGTTTACAAGGACAGGCTTTGAAACCTGCAGTCAGTGAATTACCAGAGCCATTGGAAATGTGATTGGCATCTGCAGATCCTGCACAGTGATGGGATCTTGCACTTCAGCAAGCGGGGGGAAGCTGCTCCTGGGGAAGTGTGTCCCTTCCTTTGCCAGGGAGCAGGGAAGCCAAGAGCCAGCCAGAGTGGGCCCGGCAGGTTGCCCAAGCAGTCACTGAGGTTTCCCCTGCAGGATGGCACAGACATTCCTCAGAGCACTGCCAGGCTCCCATCTGCCCTTCATGTAAAGCATTCCTAGGAATAGGCCCTGCCTGTGCAGTGGGGGAGGGCTTTAGACCTCAGCCAGCTGCTAGGAGAAAATTCAGGACAAGTCTGAAGAGGGAAAATCATCTCTGTTCAGGTGGTCAGCACTTACCAAGAATAAAGGCAGAGAAATCAGGTTGTGGGCCAGATCACTGTCCCGTCCAGTATAATATTTCTGGTGGCATTGATACCAAGAGAAGTTGACTAAGCCATGTGTAAATTCAGAGCTTTTGAAAAGAATGCCAGAGATGTTGATTCTTTGCTTTAGTTGCACTGATTTAAAATTCAAATATGTTTTTCCCCCTTTATTCATCGAAGTATTTTGATTTAGCTGTGGCTTTGGAAGCTGGTGGACAGGGCACCGGCCTGAGGTCCTCCTCCCTGTTAGAGAGACAGCACTTTAGATAAAAGGGCAGGTGTCTTCAAACTCTGGGGGATTCTTTGTCTACACCTCCACCCTGCTTCACTCTGTGATCAGATCCTCAGGCCCCTGGGAATCGTTGACCTCTGGGGCTCTACCAGCCTGGTATGCTCAGGACTGTGGAGCCCATGCTTCCTCTGGGATCAGGCTGCCACTGTGCTCTGGATGATATCTTCACCTGGACCCTCACAAGATTTTCATGTCCCCCACCTCAGCCCTCTAACTGCTGTCTGGTTCGCCCATCCTGTGTCTCGCCCACCTCTGCAACTGTAGATAAATCCTTGTTTGCATCTGTATCATGACTACTTAACATCCTGTACCTATGACCAAAAATTGACTAACATACAAGTTTTAAGATACACTGAGGTTGTCTTTGCAAAACACAAAAGCATCCCAAGGAGCTAGTGGAGAATTTGTGCCTGTCTTTGGAATGGAAGAGGCTTGCTCCCTGGCATTGTGCATATCACCAGCTGAAATATTCACTAAAGGCACATTAAATGAGTTCTGGCTGCTGCCTCTGGGGAGGAGCAGTGTTGCGGGCCCAGCCATTGGAAGAAAGCTTCTCCCCTGGATTATTTAGGCTGGAGGCTGCTGATAGCTCAGGATGTTGGCCCTCTGGTCCTCTGGGACAGTATTGTCTGGAAGAGCTGTGACTTTGCTGCCTCTGCTTTCCCAAAGAGCACAGGGTCTCTTAAAAGATGGCAGCCACAGAGATCTTAATCTAGCAAACGTGGAATATTTTATTTCTGCTGTGGGAACAGAGCAAGACACCTCACAGGACAGACAGGCAGAGCTTCCATCCAGTGTTCTCTTTGTGTTCAATCTTTGTTTTTCATAAGCAAGATCCCCTTCCCGTTTCTTTTTCATGATTTTGTAGTTGATTTGTCTGAACTGTGGCTATTGTGCATTCTGTGAATAATCACTTGTCAGTGCTTGAAGCTGTTTCCTTTACTCAAGTCAAGGGGACTTTGTTGGCTTTGGGGTCTTGCCAGTGGCCCCAGGAAAAGAGTGGGGAAGAGCCCAAGCATCGCCTTGGTGCCATGATGGCTGCAGTCCAGTTTCATGATTCTGATTTTTATGCCCCTTGATTCTGAAAGTAGACATTCCTCATGAATAAAATCAAAGATAAATCTGAATTGTTAGAGAACTTTAAATCTTGGTTTTGGGGAGGGGCTAAATAGGGGGACAGAGGACCTGTGGTCGTAGCACATGGGGTAACATCATCAGCCACATCTGACAGAACTGGGGGAGAAGATCATCCCTCCACCTGCAGAAAAGCTGCTGTGAAGAACCTTGCTGGGCAGGTGAGCTGTTGCAGGTGGGGTGGGATCCATCCTGTGTTTCCTCCGCTCCACTCCCCAGCCCTCCTCAGAGCACACCATTAAGAAGCTTGTCTCCCGGGACTTGCTATGTAGGATTTCAAGGCTCAGACTAGGAAGAGGACGCTGAGACTCAAGATTCCTGCTCTTAGGGCTGTTTCTCTCTCTCCACATCTGTTTTGCCTGCAAGGATGTGTGCTTAGAGTCACAGCTGGGACCACAGCAGACTCAGTAGCAGTGTTAGAAGACAGCACTTTGGTTTCTTACTTTGTAGCACTAAAATATTTAATTTCAGCTCATTCCACATTGTAGTGTACTTGAGAATTTCTGGACGACCCATCCTTGAGCTTTTAACATTGCTGTCAACAGTGAAACCAAGTCACGGTGAAACTGTCCTCATTCTGACACCGATGGGACAGCTGGGGCCAGGAGAGCCAGTGACATGTTTGGGAGCATGAGTGGGAACTAGAACTTGGCAGAGAGGGAGAGTCTCCTGAAATACAGTGTTGGGTCTGAGCATTTTTAATTTAAAGGCTGTGGAGAATGTCCCCAGGATGATGTCCTAGGAACCTCGAATGCTTCTTAATCAGTGCCTGGGTTCAGTTGGAGGGACACGTGGGGCCTGAGGCCTTTAGGAAGTGGGCAGTGCCTGGGCTGAGGGCACAGCTCGGGAAAATACATTCCGCACCTCCTGGAGGAGGTGGATGGTGTCCTCTCGCCCAGCTCTGGGTGCAGGAAGAAGGCCTGCCCTGCAGGAGCAAGGCTGGGTCATTCCAGATGCTGTTCACCCTGCATCTTCCTCATCGCAAGGAGCTGCATTTTATTTTTTGTAGTACTGGGCATGGAACATACAGCTGTGCATATGCTGAGCATGCACTCCACCACTGACCGGTATCCTCAGCCCCCCGGTATAATACCATTTTCTGGATTGGAGGCCTGATGAAACCAAGATTCTCCGAACAGCCTGCAGCCTTGACTTCCTGGAGTCTCCCTAGGGCCCACTCCTGTGTTCTGTCTATCCTGAGCCCATCCATTTGTCCACCTCTTTTCCATCTGATAAGTAGGCTTGTTAGGCAACAAACCATAATAATTTAACAGCAGACCATTACCACTCACCTTTTCTTTGCTTTTGTGTAATGCCTTTGACTCTTCATGGGTCCAATTTCTCCAGAAACCACATTTGCCAACTGGACCATGAGAATCACTGCCCCACTGCCCCGCCACCACATAACCTCCACCAAAAATACAACAGAGTGACAAGGTATCTTTGGAAACAATTTTCTTACGAGAATCTCAAGTTCCTAATGAGTCCAGCTAGGGTGGGCTAGTCCCATGGTGCTAGTCCTGGAGTGCAGACAGGCAGCAAGGGGCAGTGTGAGGAGACCAGCACCAGAGGTACGTGTGTGAGGTGTCCTCCTGACTCCTAGAGCTATGGTCCCTTAAGCACACTGACTATCACATGGACCCTTAGACCTGCTAGCATAACTACTGAAGGGTGGCTGCCCATTCGGTCTGGTCAGGGCCATTGAGGGGAGTTGGTCAGCACTGGGCTGTGGGGTGTGGGACACAGCACACTTCTGTCTGGACTGAGTCTCTCTGCCTTGGGAATGATGCAGAGAGGCCCCAAAAGGACCTCACTTTCCTCTGTCAGATCTCCTGTCTGGGAGGCTACCGTGAGAGTCTGCACTTCCGGGCAGTCTTGGGTTTCAAGCTCAGCTCTATTCACCTGCTGTCACCCGGCCCCTTCCTCACAGGGCCGTTGTTAGGAAGTGAAAGCACTGGCATGGAGCACACACAGGACACAGCTGCTAATCCTGGGATTTGGAGAGGCCAAAAACTGGCCAAGGCCGGAGCTCCCAGGTCGTCCTGTCTCCTGGGGGAAGTGATGCTGCCCTTCTGTGGAGAGCCCTCCCTTCAGAACAGACGTGGAGGGGTCGGGGTGCTGCCTGGGTCTGGTTTGCTTTCAGACATGGTGCCAGCGGATCCAGGGTGCAGGCCTCAGTGCCAGGAAGCTGCCGCACCCCAAGCTGTGGTGCCGACTCTCAGAAGCAGAGCCAGACAGCTGTGAATGTTGTGTTTTCAAAGATGGCTACAGAACAACTGCTCTCAGCCTCTCTGTTGATGAATCCCAACTCCTGTTCTCACGCTCCGCTCCCACGTCCCCATGCCAGATTTCCATCCAGGTTCTCCACCTCCCTCTTCATATCCAGAGCCACCTCCTGCCCAGCACTGTCTTGAGAGCCAGCCCCACCTTGGGAAGGAGACACAGGGCCTCCCTGACATCACAAAAGGGAGCACGGAACCGAAAAGCAGGACTGAGGTTCTCCAAAGGTTCCCGGTGCCCATGCCCTGAGCCTACCTCCTACCCTCGCTGCCCTTCCTCCTCCCTACTGTGGTGGTCCCCAAAGGGCTGTACCCAAAGGGAAGGAGTGACGTTGCCCAGTAACCTTCCTCCAGCACCCCCTACTCCCTCCCTGCTGCACTCATGCCTACTGTCATTTCCACTGAACAGCCACAGAACAGCTGGTTCACGGGTACACGCGTTATATAGGTCAGACAGCAAGCCATCTCCACACCTCAGTTTTCCTGTATGTAAAATGGGACACAGAATTTGGACACATAGCTCTCTAACATCCTTCTACCACCCTCTGGTGGCTAATTTGGACCACAGACACTAGTAGGTGGTGTTAAAAGCAAGCACAACCCCAGCAGCACCTGATGGGGACTCCAGCCCACAGTCCCCCTTCAAAGCTAGAGTTCCTTTCCAGTTGCTGCTACCTATTTCAGCTGTTTTCCAGGTCTCTTGAGTTAAAGATAGACCTACGCATGACCCAGGAAGTCCTCAACTCTGCTTTAGAAGAGGGCATCTCGGTGATGCAGGGGCATTCCACGCCACCAGGAAGAAATGGCCACGCTGCCATTCTGAGCAGTGGGGATGCTCTGAGGTACCACTCCATAGGCAGGGCTAGATCTCCTAAGCCATCACACACAAAGGAAAGATAAAGCCAGGGCAAAGACCTGCCAGGGAGGAAGCCCAACCCAGCAGATCACTAGAGATGTCCTGTCCTGCACCACTGGGAGACAGCTTGTTTAAGGAAGAGTGGGTAACGAGGCCTGCAGTGAGGTGGCATCCCTAGGACTCTGATGGTTTCTCAAACTCAACGTTCATGAAGTGCCTACTCTGTGCCAGGTACAGTGACAGATTTTCACAAGCATCCTTCACCTTACTATATCCACAGGAGGGGGCCATCCCTCTCCCTATTTTATAAACAAGGAGGCTGAAGCCTAGCAAGTGTTCACTGGCTTAGTGAGAGAGTAGCGCAGCTGGGCCTAGATAGAAGCTGGTGTCCAGGACTTGTCCAGTGCTCCTTGCCCATGCTGTGTTCTCCCCCACCCCCCACCCACCCCGCCCACTGCATCAGCATGGTCTCCCGCTGCCTCTGTGCTTGGAGAAGCAGCAGTTTCTCTGGGCTCAGGACACAGGATGCCCTGTGCTGGGTCACATCTCCTGGGTGCACCTGGTCAACTGATCCCTCTGGGCATTGCCACTTGCTGGCCCAGCACTGAGCACAGGTCACATGGTGGGGAAGGTGCAGAACATCCTTAACAAGTCTCTGTCCTTGGCCAAGTGGCCTCTGGCGGAGCTCTCGGAGCCGCCTGCAGGGCCCCAGGTAGGCAGCTGAAGCTCTGCTTCCTGTAAGTCATTGGTGGCAGCACACCTGTCCTGAAGCCTGCTTCCAGCTGCTCAAGTTTAGGTGGCGATAGGAGAGAGGGGGTTATGAGCAACAAAGATGGCAGAGTTTCAGCCATGTGCCCCTGTTCCGCTAGCTCCACTGCCCCGCCCAGCTCTGCTGTGCACAGAGAGGCCAGGGCCGCCTGAAGCTGATAGCCTCACTTTCCATCCTTCCAGCAGTCAATCAGCTCAGAGTGGGAAAAGGCCACCACCCAGATAGATGCTTGTCGGGGGGGAGGAAGCCATTCAGCCGTATGGCACCTTCCAGGCCTGTGTCTTCATTTGTTATTTAAGTACCATGCACTAAGCCACTGCTCAACTGGGCCTCATTGGAACATGGCTCCCTTTTGGAATCCATGACTGCAAAAGGTTCTTCCAGATCCTAATGCCTGCAAGCTTGCACTCTTCACACAGATTAGTATTTGGGCCTCAAACTCTAAGTGTGTTATTCAGAGGCTCAGAGGCTCAGAACTCAATGGTCTAGCCTTGCCCACCACTCCCTTAGCTGCAGTGAGAAAGAGATGAGAGGGAAGTTGGGATGCAGAGAACTTGTCACCAGGCAGAAGGGGACTTGGGCTGTGCTCTGGATCCCTCAGAGGCACTGGGCTGTGGGACTGAGCCAGAAGGCTTCCTAGGAGATAGACTGCAGGGCTAGGCCAAGTCCTCCGGGCAGGACCCTCTGGCACTGTGGGCTGTGGCCCAAAGAAGTAGAGAGGAGGCCACGTCACATCCAGCTCCTCTCCTCTGCCATACCCCTTGTGTCAGCCAGGCCAGCATAGAATTTGAGCTCCTGCTGCTCTTCTCTTCCCTGTCACGCCATTCTCCCATGACATGGAGGTCTTGGATCCTTCTGTCCTTTCAGGGCCTCTTCTGATCAACCTGCTTGAGGTGGGGACACTTCTGTCCCCGCCTTGCAGCCTTCACTCACCTCCACCACCACTGTTGTCCAGTTGGCCAGAGGAGAGGAGACCAGCCAATACTGTGAGCCGGTCCATTCCTCCACGTTGCAGCTGGCTCTGGGGATGCTGGTGCAGGGGGAGGTGAAGCAAGAGGACAGATCTCTGGGGGCAGCACCCCTTCCTGGTAGCTTGCTTGTCCATCCTCCACCTGACACTACTGTACAGCAGGGGCAGTAGGGTGCAGAAGGGTGCAAATGAGCAGGGTCTCACTTAGAGCTGGGAGCTGAATGGTCTGGGTGGAGGAAGGTGGTGCTGGTGTAGTTCTGGAAAAGAGGCTGCAGGAACATGCCAATGGTGCCAAAGACACAAACGAAGACAAAGATCCAGAGGAAGAGGCGGTCGATCACCATGGCGACGTACTTCCAGTCCTCACTCACCTGCATGGAGAAGATGAAGGCCTGGTATCAATCGTGTGATGAGACATAGGAGTGGGATGAGTATAAGCAGGTCCAGACAGACACACACACACCACTCCTTCTCCTTAGCAATCGTGATGAGCTTTCTAAAGCATAGTCGAGGTCTTACCTGCCTTCATGGCCTATCCACAGCTCCAGATCTGAAATCCAGATCTACCCATGACAGTTAAGGGCCCATCTCCTATTCTCTCCCACCCCACAATCCAAAATTACCAAACCACTTGTCTCTCAGGTCTCTATGCCTTTGGGATTCCTTCGTATCTGAAAATCATGACCTGTGTTCGTCTTGCTAAGTTCTCTAGGTATGCGAACACCTACATATCCCTCAAAGTCCAAATTAGATAATCAGCTTCTCTATGAAGCACAAAAGTCCCCCCGCCCAAAAAAAAAAAAAAAGACTGCTGAGTCAGAAAGATCATACTCTCCAGGGTTTGAGAGCCAACCAGCGCTCCTCAGAGCTGTCCCACCACAGCCTGGTTCTGGCCCAGTGTTCACAGGAGCCCAGCAAGCTGGCAGGGTGGGGGTCATCAGCCATGCATCTTTGGGTCAGGAGCTGAAAACCACTCATGCATGTGGCCACTGTGTGCCTGCTGTCCACCTAGGCACCGTGCTAGGCACTGGAGATACAACTTAGCAAGACAAACACAGCCTGAAGTTTACAGATTCCCAAGGAACGTGGAGGCAAAAAAATATATAAGAATGCTTAAAATGACACACAGTGTTGGAAAGCAAGGGCTGAGATGGAGAAATAGAGGGAGGATACAGTGCACAGGGTAGCCTGGGAAGGGCTCAGGAGGGAGTGGCAGTTAACCAAGAGCTGTTGGGTGAGGAGAAACCCACTGTTTCAGGGATAAAGTGAAGAAAAATATGCAGACAAATCCAAATAGTACCCTTAAAAATGTTTATGCCATGAGAGTAGTGATTCCAATCTGAAGGCAGTGAAGGAGACATGAGAATACGCGCAGTCTGAGGTCTTGGTGTGCAGTGGGGACGGGGCAGTGACGCAAAAAAGGACATTGTTGGGACGAATGGAAATACAGTGGATGTCACTTTGTAGTAGATAAAGACAGTGATGGTCAATTTTCTGCATGTGATCATTAATCCTGGGGTTTAATTTGTTTTCTGCTGGGGAGGGCACTCAGGGTCTCAAGCACACTCCACCACTGAACTACACCCCCAACTCCCACCTGGGTTAGGCCGGAAAATGCCTCCCCCCTTTTTTTATCTTTTTGATACAGGGTTTTGCTATGCAATTCAGGCTTGAGCTCACTTTGTAGCCCAGGCTAGTCTCGAACTTGCAACAATCCTCTTGCCTCAGCCTCCCGAGTACTGGGAATGCAGGCATGTCCCACAACTCCTAGCAAATGTTCCCATTCAGAGACACCCTAGATAAATAGTCACAGTGTTTCCAACATACTCTCATGACACTAATAATCATTTTAAAGGAAAAATGAAAATCATTTCAAGCAAAGGGATCATTACGTGCCAAGACCTTGAGGTGAAAAATAGCTTGTCTTGCTTCAGACAGCACAGCAGTAAACTGGTGCCATGAACAGGGGGTAAAGCACAAGTTGACAAGGATCTTTGATTACTCAGAGCCAACAGCCAAGTTAGGGGGCCGACTAGGAGATTCCTTCCTCCAGGCAAGAGCTGGTGACAGCCTAGCACCACTCCTTAGCACAGAGGAGGAGAAGAAATGAGAAGGCGGTGCTCACAGGACAGGACCTCACATGACCCACACGGTGCAGAGAGACAGGAGGGAGAGAGAGAAGTCAAGGGTCACTCCAGAGTGACCGCTGGGTGAATGGTGATGCCGTCTGCTGAGTGCTAGGGGAAAATAGGTGATAGGAACATAGATCAAGCACACAGTTAGGGCACGCTGAGGTCAAGTGGCCTGCAAGGCATTCAAGTAGGTCACAGATGCCCAGCTCCCAGCTGAGTAAATGCTGAAGTCAGAGTTCCCTGCAGCAGGTGGGGAAGGGAAGGCTTGGAGGCAGCAGCAGCTCAGCCCTGCACTCCAGCATCTCCACTTGGCCTCAGCTGGCTTTGAGGCTCTGCACCCCCATCTCCCTTCATCCCAACTAGAGATGCTTCTTGATCCAAACTTAGCTGTAACCCAGGTTCCTGCCATCCAGGGGAGCTGATATTTCATATCCCCCCAGCCCTTCCTCATCCCAAAAAGAAATGGCAGGGTCCCAAAGGAAGCCTGGTCAGTCACCATGGCAACAGCTGAGAGTTAGGCTAGAACCAGCCAGGTGGAGGCTGACCACAGAGCAGACCAGCTGTGACCCAGAATGGAGTGATGTCATCCTATCCTATCTCCCCTCAACTCCTAGTTCAGTCTTAGGAAATCCCCTCCTGGGGAGCTGCTGCAGAAAAAGCCAAATCTCTAAGAGCATGCAGCGAGGGGAGAAGGGAGGTGTTCAGGGAGCCACCCACCCCCATCTCCATAAATATTTCACCTTGGGCCCCACAAGAGCAGAAAAAGGATATTGATTGGAACAGGCTCGCAGAACCTCTCAACCCCGATGCGCACACACACACAGAGCCACACAGGCAGGCTTTCTGTCCTCGATTTTACTCCCCATGGGGCTCATAAAAGACTTGGCTCCCACTGTGCTAAAAGCTGCACATTAACAATGTGCAGTGATGGCCGCAGGGAAGGACTTTGGTGGTGACAGTCACAGGTCAGCTGCAAAGCCAGCAGGGCCTCCTCCTGTTCCACGCCGCCCTCCCGTCACCAAGATGCCCCAGCTGAGGCCTTTTGCCCTGGATACAAGGAGGCCCAAGGTCAGGTGGAACCATCTTTAAGTGACGCAGCCTCCCAGAAGCAACGCAGAAGCAGAAGAACCCAGGCCAGCGCCCCAGAGGTGCCCCAGGAGGCCTGACTCACCTTCTCTCCAGCCTCTGCTCAGCCCACATGACAAGGATCCCCATCCCACCCGCCTGCTGCCCCCTGGGACTCACGCTCTGGTCATCGTCTTCGCTCCGCATGTGGTCAGCGATGAAGCGCACACCATCCACTGCCTCCCGAAGGCCACAGCCACACGGGTCCCCGGGGTGCGCCAGGCCACCCGCGGGTGCAGGCTCCGCTCCAAAGGCCCCTGCCAAGCCCTGCACAGATGCACGGTTGACAAAGCAGGTGCAGGAGTCGGCCCCAGGTGCCTCACGGAAGAACAGGGCCCCTGCGCCCTGACGTTCACGCTGCTGTCGCCGCAGGCGCAGGCGCTGGCGGGCACAGCGGTGGCGCGGCTGCTGCATGAAGAGTAGCGCAGGCAGCTTCTCCAAGAACACGACCTTGACCCAGGGCGCCATGGTGTGCGTGGTGGGCGAGCGGTGGTGCACGTTGAGCACGCACACGCTGGTGACGATGGAGAAGGTGACCAGCACCATGGTGAACATGAGGTACTTGCCAACGAGCGGCACATCGAGCGAGGTGGGAGGCACAATCTTGGAGATGAGCAGCAGGAAGACCGTGAGCGCCAAGAGCACGGAGATGCACAGCGTCATCTTCTCGCCACAGTCCGATGGCAGGTAGAAGACGAGGATGGCCAGCGAGGTGATGAGCACGCAGGGGATGATGAGGTTGATGGTGTAGAAGAGTGGCTTGCGGCGAATGATGAAGTCGTAGGTGATGTCCACGTAGGTGGAATCGTCAGGGTTCTCGTTGCGCCGGCCTGGCAGCGCCACAATGTCCCACTCCCCGCTAGGCGTGAAGTCGTCCAGGCTGGCCACGTCACTCTTGAGCACCAGGTCGATCTCAGTGCGGTCGTAGGTCCACGAGCGGAACTTCATGGTGCAGTTCTGCTGGTCAAATGGGAAGTGCTTGACTTCAATCTTGCAGGCGCTCTTGTAGATGGCAGGTGGCAGCCAGAAGATGCTGCCGTCATAGGAGACCACCGCGTTGGAGTAGAAGGACACCTCGTACATACCATCGGCACTGTCAAGGGAAGGGTAAGGTCAGCCGAGGCCTAAGTGGTTCCCGGTTCACACCCATCCACCCATGCCCAAGTGGGAGGAGATAAAAGGCAGGCGAGCTAGGAGGAGGACGCCAGGGTGGAGAGAAGCATCCGAGAGGGGGAGGGCTGAAGCAGGAGCTAGCAGCAAGGGAGAGGGGCCCTAGTCAGGAGGCCTGTGCGGCCCCTCCAGGGTAGAAGAGAGGGCAAGGAGGGAGGGGACCTGCTTCTGACTTGTCTCATAGTGTGTAAGTCTGTTACTTTTCATAAGTGCGAGGAACTGAGACCAGAGTGAGGAGCTCCAAGCCATGGAGGGGGCCAAGGGCAGGTGGGAGTAGGATGTGGTCCCATTATCTGTGGGATCAGGTGGAGACAACCTAGAACCTGGAAGAGAAACTGGGACTTTGAGTCCTTTGATCCTGCCCAGATTTCCATGAAAGTCTTTTTTTAGTCATTTAGCCCTGAGGGCCGTGGATCTTACATCCTCACCACAGCTTCAAGTTCCTGGCAGTCCTAATTGGCGGGTCATGGCCTAAATCAACTTGACCTGGGTCTTCTGTCTGCCTGCAAATGCCCCTTCCTGCTCATAGCAAAGGTAATTTATCTGCCAGCAAGACATTTCCCCCCTGAGTGCTCCCATTGTGTCTCCCTAACTTTCCATTACCCCAAGGCCACCTACTTGTTGTACAGGACCACATCTGGGAGCCAGATATGTTTAGAAGGGAGTCGGACTTTCTTCATATTGTCAAATTCCTCGGGCTTCCAAGTGAGGCGATAATCTTCCCACTCCTGGTAAAGGAAGAGAGGGAGGCAGCACGGAACTCCCTCCCACAGGACCCAAAGGTCGAGGTTAGGGACAAGCTGGAACCCATATGACTTGAAGAAGCCTTCAAACATAGCCTCCTTCCCAAAAATGAGTTCTTTGCCCACAAAGTATGGATCATATGATTTGTTTTCATTTAATTTGTACAATTGAGCCAAAGTGTTATGGTCTACATTTTACAAGTGAGAAAATGAACCTAGGAACATTGAATATGTTTAAAATAACAGAGCTAATGAATAACTGAACCAAGATTTAAGCTCAGTTATTTAGGACTCTAAGGTATATAGCTTTTCTCCTGCACTTGAAGAAACTGACAGGGTTAAAAGTACACAAACAAAAAAAGTACATAAAGATGAGGAAAGGAAAGGCCACAGGTGTGGAGGGAAGAGCACTGACCTGGGTCAGCCAAACATTGGTGGTCATGATCTGCTCCCGCTCATGCTGCAGGGAAAGAGGGAAGCTTCTGAGGGGTCCCCTGCCATCCGCACCACAACCCACATCCCACCCTCATGGGACACACTGAGACAAGTAAGCATTCTGGCGAGGCTGACTTTAGCTGCTTGGCAGAGAGCTTGGGATCCACACTCACCACACTGATGAGCTGTGCCAGTGACACCATGAGCTGCACTGTCACCAGCTCAGAGCCATTGGTGGCTGGACGAATAAGTTTGTTATAGCGGGAGGGATCCAGGAGATGCTCCACCAGTCGCTCCTCTGTGTCTGTACCCCACGCTCCTAGGCAAGGCAGGGACAGGAAGTGAGTAACAGAAGGGTTCACAAAGAAGCCACCTTCCCAGCAAGTGAGGTGTTCCATTATGTACAGCATTCTAGACTGTCACTTCCTACTGCTGTCTCTAAGGATGTTTTAAAGTGTTCATGTTTCCCCCTGGAGGTCCTGAATTAAGAGTCCCATGGAGAAGCTTTTGTCTGTGACCAATAACTAAGAAGTTCAGACATGGCCAGACATGGTGGCACATGCCTATAATGGGGGTGGCACATGCTTATAATCCCAGCACTTGGGAGACTGAGGGAGAAGGATTGCCATGAGTTCTAGGCCAGCCTGAGTTCAAGGCCACCCTGAACTACACCTTGTTTCTCTCTCTCTCTCTCTCTGTCTCTCTCTTTCTCTCTCTCTTTCTCTCTCTCAAAAAAAAAAAAAGTTCAGATGAGAACTCACTTAAGAACTGATGGAGCACTGACCTAGGCCAGCCAAACATTGTACAGGACCACATCTGGGAGTCAGATATTTTTAGAAGGGAGTCAAAACTTCTCCATATTGTCAAACTCCTCAGGCTTCCAAGTGAGGCCTGCTTTTCTTCCAGGGTGTGCCAAAGAGGGACAGTTTGCATCCCTGCACATACCTCTTCAGCCAGTGTCTGTTAATGTGTGTATATATCACTGTGTGTCTCCACATAGAACTGTGCTCCTGACACCATCCCCTTTCCTTGTGGGACCCAGGCCTGGGTAGAATGGTTGGGCAGCCTACATTGTGGGCTGGGAAGCTGTGGGTTGGGCTAGTCCCAAGCTCCATACCCATAGGAGTGCAGCCTGTGAGTGGCATGCAGGTGTGGATATCTCCTTCCCTCGCACCTAGCAGTCTGCTTCCATAACTCTGCACAAACATGCCCCTCCCCAGGCCTTTGGAGAGCTCCTTCTCTGTCCTCAGCCTGTCAGTTTCTCTTTCAAGTTTCCTGTCTTGTGGGACAAAGAGGACCGAAAAGTCTGTTCTCTTCGCTTTCTGCCTTATTCCCCGAGAGTAACAAAGGAAAGAAATGATAGAGTCCTCAGGGAGGGGTGCTCTACCAGATATGTTGCTTGAGATAATGTGTCACCAAGAAATCCAGTGGCACCTCAGCTCTTGTCAGAACCAGCCCCCTGCCATCACAGAAAGCTTCCTCATCTACCCACACCCTCCTCACCACCACTGGCCAGGATTCCACTTCTCCCTAGCATCGCTTCTCAGGGTGGCTCCTCTCTCAGTTCAGTCTCTGGGTGCTCCCCGCCACATCATGGGTCTCCTGCCTACCCCTCAGCAGGCTTCCCCAGCCCTAGGGAATCCCTCCCTTGCACCTTCCGGCCTGGCTGGGTAAAGCAGAGCACAGCATCTTGGGCCATCGTCCAGGGTACCGTGACTAGCGGGACCTGGCCAGTGCCCGTCCTTACCTAGGAACAGCCCGAGGAGGCCCAAGCTGAGAAGCAGCGCCATGGGGCTGCAGCTCCCAGACATTCAGCCCGCATAGCACCAGCCTGAGCGGCCGGCGCGCGCTGTCCGTGGTGCTGAAGTCGCGCCCAGGTCTCACTGCCGGGGCCAGGTGGTGTCCGGAGCCTTGGTGCGCCTGTGCTGCCACACGGTGGTTCCTAGGGCGCAAGAAAATGACCGAGGGGAGGAACCAGTTTCTTTGCTACCCCGATGGAGCAAGCAGAGGCTTCTCTGGCTGCGCTTCCAGGGACTACAATTGGGCCGGGAGGGGGAGGAGTCTCCGCCCCGGAGGCGGAAGCGCCAGGCAGATCCCCGGGCAGGGTGGGGGCGGGGTCCCGGGTGGGTTAGTCTTCCACTGCTCCTGCCCAGGTGGGGCGGGCGTGAGGCGCCCAAAGGCTGTCCACCAGGTGGGGGAGTTGCCAAGCCCAGAAGTTGAGGGAGACACAGGACATGAAAATGTCTGAAAAAGGACTAGGAGGCTGGCAGGAAGGATGGTGCAGGTCAAGAGTGACACAATGAGAGGGCAGGAGACCAAGTTTCTGGGGATCCTGCTCTTTTCTCTCTTCCTGGGAAGCCTAAGAAACTGCTTTTTAGGCCGTTAGAGAAAGAAAAGTGTGTGTGTGGGGGGGGGGGTATTGAGGGACAGGTTGTTAAAGAAAACAGCTTTGGAGTCTTGGAACAGAGCCCCCTCACCTGTCCCTACCTCCTCCTCCAAAATCTCTCTAAGAGCCCAGGGTCCCCCCGACCCACAATGGCTGAGGCAAGGAAGTGCAGACTCCTCCTGCATGAAGGTAACCTTGAAGGCCTTGAAGCGCGGGAAGATGAGCAGCCGCATGGAGGATCCTCTCTCACCGGCATTTGCTTCCACTTCACTCTGTCTTCTGTGCTCCGGGAGATCAGAGGATCCTTTCACAGAGAAAGACAGAAGCCAGCACAAAGGACAGCAAAGATGAGAGACATGTGGAAGCTCAATGGCATCTTTGATCTTGAAAATCCTGAACTGCTGAGCCAATAAAGGCCTCTCTGGTTTTTTTTTAAAGGTAGATTTGTTATCACTTTCAACCAAAAGATCCCTGACCAAAGTGAACTTATCACAGAGCAAGGCCATGTTTGTTCCTCTCACCCCGCCTCCAATCTCATCTGGGCCACTCTGCCCTCTCTCCATCCCTGTAATGTCTTTAAGATCCTTGAACATTTGAACCTTGCCATCCCCTATATTTATGAGGCTTTTAAACACAAGGTTCTCCTTGGCTCTTTTATCAATCATTTTCCCTCTAATCACCTTCTTGGAGCATTTGGCAGGTTTTAATTCTTGAAAGACACTATATCTCATCTGGGATAAAATCAGACATTTGTAATTGATAGAATTCTGGCGCAGATGAAAAGATAAGCAGTATGAAATATAAATGACTTTTATTTTAAGAATGTGGGGAGAGACCCCCTCACCCTCCAGTGTCTGGCATTGTCTCAGGGGGCTGGCATTCTCTCCATCGGACAGGTGGAGTGGGGACATACATGTAGCTTAGGTTTGGGGTGGTGCCTACGGGGCATTAGTGATGCACAGGTAGCCCACTGATATTCATGTTGAGTCACAGGTAAATTCTATTCATGTTGAGTCACAGGTAAATTCCTAGGAGCGGGGAAGATAGAACTCAACCTAAAGCCTCTTCATTCTGCCTCCAAGGCTTTACGGGCTACAATGTCTGGCCTAGGGCGGGACTGTTTCAGTAATATATAGTGGAAAGTACTCCCTAAAAGCACATCTAGCGGCAATTTATTTAACATGTGCCCAGGTTTGGAAATGACGGGAAGAAGCAGGACAAGTTCCAGAAGAGGTTTAGAGAAGAAAAATTATCACAGGCCTCATGGGGCACATGAGAGTGCGCATTGCACTACACCACCAGCTGAAGGGCATGCATGTGTAAAGGTGCAGAGATCTCTTAGCAAGGAAATCTTGGTGCCGATGAAAGGAGCAGAGAATAAAAGCCTTAAGAATAAAGGGAGGAACGTGTACAGCCTCTGCAAGCAGAGCGAGGGGCACAGTGAGAAGATGCACCTCCAACAATTTGTGTGTCTAGTGTATGTCAGGAACGGTACAGGGCGTAATCCGGTCTAAAGGATTTAGTCCAGCTTTGAGGAGATCACAGTGTAGCTGCAAATTATTTCACAGTGTGGTGGCTGCCCTGGGAGAAATGTAGATGAGAGGCACAGGGGAGGGACAATTAACAGTGCCTGGGGGCATGGGGAGGATGGAGGTGAGCATTGCGATTACAAAGAGAAGAAAGCTGTAGGGGCTGGGGATTTAGCTCAGCGGCATAAGCACCTGCCTTGCAAGCAGGCGGTCGTGAGTTCGATCCCTGGTACCGATAAAAAGTTAAAAAAAAAAAAAAAAAAAAAAGAAAGCTGTAAGCAAGGGACGCTTGACATTGCACAGTCCTGGGAGGACACGGCACTTCTGGGTGTGCAGTGATGGAGGAGGCAAAAGGTGTTCTCCTAAGGAAGTTTCTTGGTGGAGTTGTGGCCTCTTTCTGGGTTGACACACAGAATAGGAAGGGGGGTTGCTTGCTTAAAGCTGTCACTGCTCCCCCATGCTCCTTCAGGCCAGTCGAAGCAACCAGCTCACCACGACCTCTACCCTTCTCCGGTCTTGCAGCTTTTACCTCGTTTTGTTCCAGCCTGCTAAGGAACAAGTCCTCAAGCACAGCCACCCACTGACCAAGGAGAGCTGCACCCCGCCCACCGTCCTGTCCCCAGAGTCCTTCATGCCTCCTGACTCCCAGGAGGGAAGAACAGGCCAGCACCACACAGGGCAGAAGGGGGCAGTGCTGAGGCAAAATAGTGATTACTTCAGCACTCTCATTACCTCTGACCAGCCTCTTGCTCTTCTGTCTCTGTTTCTGTTTCTGTCTCACTTTCGTTTCTTTTTTTTTTTTTCTTTTTGAAACGTTTGTCTCTCTATGCAGTCCAGGCAGGCAATGAGCTCACTATATAGCTGATGCTAGCCTCAAACTCATGGCAATCCTCCTGCCTTGGCCTCCCAAGTACTGAGACTAATGGCATGCACCACCTCATCTGGCTTGTCTTGCTTTGTTGAGACAGGGTCTCACTATGTAGCTCAGGCAGGCTTTGAATTCACTATGTAGCTAAGGCTGGCTTTATACTCCTAACAACCTTCCTGCCTCAGCCTCCTGAGTGCTGCGATTACAGGCAGGTGCCACCATTTTTGGCATACAAATACATACATTTCTTCTGGGTATGCAACTAAGTTATATACCCTTGATATTTTTAAAGGATCAAATAGTGATATAACTTTTTTACCTTCCTTTTCATTTACAAATTCTCAAACATCTCCTCACACATAAATATTCTTTGATAATTAATTTTTCTGTCTTTGAGACAGGGTCTTACTGTGTCATCCAGACTTATCCTTATTTTTTCTGTCAGACCACATTAGAGTCAATTATATTTGGCTCCAGTTCATCTATTACCAAGCATTCTTGAGGGAAGAAGCAGAAAATACAATTCAAGCTAAACTGAGCCACAGCTGTTGGGTAAAGAACTCCTCCTCTATGTCATAAGTTATGCCAGGAGCTTCCCATGAGGCTCGTATCTCCTTTATCGCCACGACCCCAGCACCTACTGCAGCTCCTGGCAGAGAGCAAGTGCTAGGAACACATCTGTCAAGCCAGTGTCAGAGCACTGTGCTTCGGGGCCAGGTCAAAGAGAGAGCTGCGAGTTCTGCTCCACGTGAGTGCACCTGCTCACTCGGATAACACCTGACCTTTAGAGCAAAAGAAAATTCCTACAGCCCACTTTCCATTGAACAGCTGGAATGATCTGTAAAGTGTTAAATCCAATCATGCTATTTCCTGATTAAAATCCTCCAGTGGTTTCCCACCACACTTTGAATAAAACCTAAACAACTTCTGTGGTCTCCATGATCCAGCCCCCACCTTTTCTACTGACTGTCTCATATCCTGTCTCCCCACTTTCACTAGATTTAAGCTACATGAATCCTCTCTTTCTTAAAGCATTTATTGTCATGCAGTTTTATGCACTTAACATGGGTTCTCATAAAATCCTGTCAATGACCTGCCAAAGTAGGCACTACCATGATCTCTACCTTATAGGTGTGGAAACTAAGGCCCACACAGGCCATGGATAACTTGCCCAGAGTCATGTCATGAATCTCGGGTGGAGGTGGGATTCAAAGCCCATGTTCTTAGCCAGTGTATCCTTAACTCCCTATTCTGGATCTCAGCCTTTGAGATTACTGCTACCCTGCCTGAGACAAACCTTCTATCAGTCCTGCTTATTTAATAGAGCTCCCCTCAAATGCCACCTCCTTAGGAGGACCTTCCCTGACTACTGGACTTAACGTAACCCAAGTCACTCTCTCCATGTGGCCCTACCTTAATTCCTCACACTGACTTCAAGTCTTGGATATTCTTCTGGCTCCCTGCACATTTGGCTTTTGTGTACTCCTTGCACTATGATGAAAGTGTCACGACAGCTTCTCTCATCTGTCAACCATTGCTTTGTATCCACAACTAGACAGGCACCTAACACATGGAAAGTCCCACTAATGCTCATCGAGTGCTTCTTGACTTCTGAGTAGTGATAGTAATCGGATTAATAGTAGGTTTAGCACTTGCTGTGCCATGGGCTGGGCACCAAGCACTCTGTTACTCCTTTATGTATCTCATCTCATCTCAGCTGGCACAATGACCATGTTGCAAGGTAGAGTGTCTTATTTACAGATAAGGATTCTAAGTTTTCAGAAAGTAAACATCTTGCCAATGTCACATATCTAGCACAGTAGACAGAAAAAAGCAGCTAAGCTCAAAGCCACGTCTACTTTGGTCTGACTCCCCAGTCCATGCTCTTCCCCAGCACTCGTGTTGCCCTTGCTGGTCTAATTCAGAGGCTGCATCAGCTCTGATGAGTGCCCTTGGCTGCTCTCTGTTCTGAGCTCAGAAGGCAAAGCCCACCAGATGGTGCGCTTCTCTCCCTGCTTTCATGTGCTGTTTCCCCTCCCAACTCCTATTTCCCACAGACTCTGCTCTCCTTTGACAGGTCTCATTCTCTGTCAGGCTCCTGTTATAGTTTGCCAGGCTTTAAAGCTTCCAAAAATTGGTAATGTGTTTTAATCTTCTCTTGATTGTAAAATAAGTGCAAATTCATACACATGGCTTTGAATGCCTGCTGTTGTAGTCAGGGTTTCCAAAGGAAAAGTTTTAATATAGTATAAATAATGTATAGGTTTATTTTATAGTACTCAAA